GACTCTCCTTCGTAATTGTATATCTGCAGGACCGTGTTAACGTTTTAATTGTATATCCGCAGGACCGTGTTAACGTTTTAATTGTATATCCGCAGGACCGTGTTAACGTTTTAATTGCATATCCGCAGGACCGTGTTAACGTTTTAATTGTATATCCGCAGGACCGTGTTAACGTTTTAATTGTATATCCGCAGGACCGTGTTAACGTTTTAATTGTATATCCGCAGGACCGTGTTAACGTTTTAATTGCATATCCGCAGGACCGTGTTTACGTTTTAATTGTATATCCGCAGGACCGTGTTAACGTTTTAATTGTATATCTGCAGGACCGTGTTAACGTTTTAATTGTATATCCGCAGGACCGTGTTAACGTTTTAATTGTATATCCGCAGGACCGTGTTAACGTTTTAATTGTATATCCGCACGACCGTTTAACGTATTTAAAGTCGTGTGTTTGTCTTTGTCTTTTTTTCTGTATCATATATTCCTCAATTTAATTAACTTGCAGCCGAAAAGGTTAACTTTGCTAAGTATGGGCCATCGAGAATAAATTCACTTGGCGTCCCCTATGACTACAGAAGTTTGATGCATTTCAGTGATAAAGCCTTCAGTAAAAATGGCGAGCCCACGATAGTACCTAAGCAAGCTGGGGTAAGTACATAACATTTCTGGCGTTCCTCAGAAACAGCTTTTTTTTAGCATGCAAAAAAAAGTGAAAAAGAAAAAAAATACTAACTAAAAACGTAAAAACGCTAGGCATTGTCACTAAAATACATATATAATCGAAACTATTTCAATCGCTCTGACGAAGGGCTAACGCTCGAAACGTCAGCTTTTTTACCCTTTACGGTGGCTAATTTACGTTTTCAATCCAGTTGTTAACACTAAATTACCTATTATATTCTCCCACCGACGCAGCACCACAGTTTCTTTAGAAACTTACCCCTTTATTATTATGTAAGCCTTCAATTTTTATTTTCCAAGATACAAATAGGTCAACGGGAAAGTCCAAGTGCCTTGGATATCAAGCAAATGAATTTACTGTATAAATGCAGTGGTGGAGGCGGAGGCGGAGGCGGAGGAGGAGGAGGAGGAGGCGGAGGCGGAGGCGGAGGCGGAGGAGGAGGAGGAGGCGGAGGCGGAGGCGGAGGAGGAGGAGGTGGAGGAGGTAAACTTTAAACTCGTTTTGCCTCATATCTTTCATATCATTATCATACCAGAGACAAAAGGGATTAACCTAGAAGATTTTTTGAGGGCATCTTACAGAGTATGGAGGCGCCTTTCCATGCAGAGTCAGTGATTTTGGGTCTCAGAAGTCTTGGGGTGGCGCTCAGCAGGTCTCTGAAGAGTCCAATTACACGGGATGACTTCTCACATACCTTTTTCGTTGCAGAAACCTGCAGGGATCAAAATTATAATTGTGGAAACTGGGCAAGAAGGGGTGAGTGCCACAGAAATCCAAGATACATGCACGTGTATTGCAAGAAGAGCTGTCGGGTGTGTAATGCGCAAGGTAAATTTGCAGAGTTATTTGTTATTAAAACAATTAGTCGCCTCAGTCTTAGTGAATATTGTTGAATAATTGTTAATCAGCGCTGGAGTTTTTCCCGGATTTACTAATATGAGCCAACTGGAAGTATGGCAACTCCTCTGTGGGCGGGGATAGCAGTCCAACTCGCTTCAAAGATCCTGTTTCTACCTACGAGGAGGCACCCATTTGCAGCAGGTCCTGTGTGCATTAATAAAAGACTAATGATGGTTGCCTCTCGATTAAAATTTAGCAGCAGGACAAATGAATTCTGTCAAGGGTAGGGAGGTGAAGAAAGTAATTTGGGACTTATAACTTCTAAGTGGGAAAAAGGTCCATAGAAAATGATCAAGGCTAGAAATGATTGTGTTTCTTGCCATCTCGGCGTGTTTTAATCTAATATCATTTTTAATGATAATACTGCCGCAGTCTTAATGATTTAAGTCGCTGAGAGTAATGACCAAGATATATTACTGTCACTGACTTTAAACTTGTTAGTTACTGTGTCAAAAACTCGCCCCGATATATTGAATTAGTCTTGTAAGTCATTTTTTGCCGAAAAGTTTGTAAAATTGTTATTAGAAACAAGGGGAGAAATAAAGTTTATAGGAACCACGGAGTGTAATTGTCATGCGTTTTTATATGGAAAGAAACGGTTTTATTTGTTAACTTTGAAAGCCCCTATATAAAAGTACAAATAGTTTTAAAAATCTTTCAAAGATTCTTAGCCAACGTTTGCGCTGTTCTCTTCCCACGCACAAAGTAAAATATTATCATGTACAGGTTGCAATTTCCAACTCTGACTGGGTTTGAAGGAGACTATCTGAAGCTCAGCCAGCACGTTGTTGCCACCGCCTTTGCATTAAAAGCCTTCTGGCTCATGACAGTACTGCGATTCATTTTTAGGAGCTTTTGAAAGATGTCTATTTCTATAACAACATTGATTGTTAGTAACTGTCACCAATTAATTTATGCTACAGAAGATTGTGTGGATCATAACCGATACTGTCAACACTGGGCCTCACAGGGTCACTGCTACGCTAATCCTGGCTACATGGGACCCAACTGCAAAAGAAGCTGTGGAATCTGCTCTAGGTGGGTGGGATTAATTAAATACTTTTGCTATATTGTGTTAATTCGCAACTTAGGTAGTAATGAGGCCTTGAATATTCCATCAATAGGAAACTCCGTAGATTATAACTGTTTATTCTGTGCCAACTCTTCTACGTTGATATACAAAAGAATTTGTTTTAAGAATATGAATAACGAAGTAAAATGTTAAATATCATCTTAAAATAGCCGGTATTCTTTTCAAGAAATGTTGGAGTCATTTTTTTGTTTCAGGCAGGTACCGGAAGTAATTTTCAGATTCTGAACCAACACAATGGCGTTGAAGAATGGAGTTACCTGTAATTACGATAAATCAAACAGTGGATGCTGCATTGAAATGCATCTCTTGTCAGGGAGTAAATTAATAAACACGACAACTACGACATCGATTCTATGTTTGTTAAATACAATATCAGATATATCAAGATGATGAAATAAAGCAATGATTCTCGCAGGTAAACTTACTTGATTCATCCACAGGAAAAAAAGATCCTTACTTTGAGGCTCATTTGGGAGTATGGCTGAGGTAGGAGCACGGCTCCTGATTTTTTTCAGCACTTGCTAAAATTACAGTTGACGATCATAGCTTTACTTGATTTTCTACCCAAATATGATCATTAAAATTTTCAATATCAAGATGGCAGCTCAAGGGCATTTAAAATTCAAATGATATTAAAAGGCGTGATGGACTAATGATAAGAGAACTCATTGCAAAGAATACTAATGCCTTCCATGACAAAAGCATGTGGTGAGGGACTTTTTAGAACCAGTGGTTTGAGAGAAGAAAGTGTTGCCCATCAAGCGGTAAGTACAATGCAGCAATAGCTAAAAACAAATGGGACCACAACAAAAGACAAAAGCTTTGTCCAACGGCGGACAAAACTGTCCATGACAAGTAATCCTGTCAAAAAACTTCTACGCAGAGAAATAAGAATACTTCACAAAGTCATAACGACACTTTTTGCAATGGTTGGGTTCTTGACTTGAAATCAGGCGAAGCTTTCAGTGAATGAAAACAAAGGGTTGATATCATGACTAATCGTTACGAGTCAAAAAAGACAGAAGAGCAGCTAACGTGTTATTCATTTTATTTCTATCCCATTATCTACATGTATCCCGGCATTTATTTGTTAGTTTTGAGCTTTGACTTAGCAGTCATATATAATGATATCGTCAATTGCAGCATCCCCCCTATAGTTGGCTCCTCTTATCCCTTCAAAACTCAGCTGAAAGAGAAAAAAAAAAATTCAATGGAAAAAAGATTTCAGTAGGTTTCGATTGGTTGCCAGAATCTTAAATGGGATGAACAGCAAAAATATCTAAATGACGAGTGGGCTCATAATAATGTCTATATAATAATAATAAAAAAAGATCAAAAGATTGATTACAGATAATAAATTAGTGAAGTTCTTGATACAATTTCGGAAGAAATTAATAAATGATTTAAAAGGAAAAAGAGGAGTGATATAAGTTTAACTGAATAGCTAGTGGTTGAAAGTAGAGTTAACGAACATTTAGGACCTGTTCACTCAGAAGCCGGACTTGTAAATAGTCATTGTCTTTTTTTCGTTTTTTCAATCCTAGTTGTGTCAGCCACTAGGCAGCGGCGAGAATAATAGCGGACGTTCGGGCGCCTAATGATTAACTTGTACTTTTAGGACTCCCATTAAGATTCTCCATGCATGCTATTTTTACTTCCTTCCCTGTCGACACTGCGGCAAAATGAGTACGCATGCTCCGCTACTCGAGTCATATGAGCGTTCAGGGCTAGGATGCCTCTTCCGCAAACGTTGTTTTTCCGCCAAAACAAGATTTTGTTTCCTGGGGGGGGGGTGCTTACTGAGGAGACGTTGAAAAGAGGGGCGAACGCGAAAACAGGTATTACGAACCTCGTAGCCTTGTAACAGCTGTTCAAATTCTGTCACTACATTCACAACTGTTACCATGTTTATCGAGCGAGAGGTATGTGACTAAAGAGGTTCGACAGAAACTATCCTAAAAACGCCAACCTCATCTGTTTTGGTTTGGGGTTATACCCGGGCAGTGAAAGTGGGTATTGGGAAGTTTTAAAAATTCCGCCATTTTGTTGCGAAAGTGTCAGTGTTGCCATGGAAATACCATGCACGCGTACAGAAGTTTCTCATGAGTTACAAGCATTCGCACTCATTTTGCTGCATTGTCTTTCCTTCCAACATGAGACATGCGCCCTTCGGTTATCATATTCCTATTTCATCGTTGAGCTCTTGCAATCTTACTGAAATCCTAAAGGGAGTAAACAGAAACCTACCTTGAATGAACCTCTCTCACAAAGACGAACTTGGTGCATCTTCCAGGTGTTTCCCTGGTTTCCAGATTTTTGAAATAACACCTTGTTGCAAAGTTTCACCCTCAGAGTGCCCATATCCGTTCCGTACATGTGATAATAAAACCTTAAGCAAGAGTTTCCAGAGAGTTTAACCATTCGAGACATTATGGCATTGTCACCAGGCCTTCGTGGACTTGAAGTTTCAATGTAACTGTACTTGCCTATAAAATGTAGAGATTCCTTCGTCAAGTTTCGTAAGAAACAAAATATCAGCTTAATACTTTACTGACACCCACGGGAAATAGCATAAACACTAGCTCTTCGTGAGGAATTCCCTCCTTCTGATTTACCGTCAAATGTCTCAGTGTTGAAGTACAAAGAGCCTTTTGGTGAGTGGCATCATCTACCCTTAATTTGTCAGAATGAAAAGGAAAAATTTTTTGAAAATCGGAAAACAAGAGAAGGGAAACTGTATTCCACGCTAAAATTTTCAGAGATAACGAGTATGCTTATGATCTTTCAACATTCCAAGGCTAAGACGAATTGACCAGTCAAACCTGATCACAAGTCTAAATTGGTAAACTAGAAATCTACTGATTAATATACAAACCATTTCCTGTGGTGTGGTCTCCACTTGGGCCAGTGTTTCTAGATGGAGTGGGGCCCGACCTTGGTGTCCAATCAAATTTGTCATTTTTGTTTTGTGTGAACCCACAGTCGTCGTCAAAATTGCATGAAAAAGCTGCATTTAAGGAAATAATCAGCAAGAGATTTAAGAATATGCCTTCTCGTGCGTACCTAGCTTATCCAAATATGCCCAGTCCCAATCCTACGCTCTCAACTTGTTTTTTCCTAAACAAAGCTGGTAAGATGAGAGACTATGAAACAGCACGATTCTTTAAGTCTATTGGATATCTCAGAGAACAAGTACTTGAGAGAAAAACTGGAGAAAATGCACCTTGCACAAAGAGTTAAACAAATTCCCTTTGCAGAACTTTAAGGTGATTCCTCAGTTTTGCATCGCGCATCCTGTAATGCGCATAAAAATCACGTAATCAGGGGAATGAGTGCCCGTGCATTCCGAGAACGCGGTATTGTTTTTCAATTCATGGAACATTTAAGGAGGTACGATGGTCTTTAGCTCCTGAAAGGGCAAGGTAAACTATATATATATATTTTTTGCATAATTTCGGTGTAAAATGCATCCCCTTTAAATTGGGGAAATTAAAAAAAATTATTCGAAGGAAAAAAAAGATAAAGCTCACAGCGTGCACGAAGCCCGTAAATCGAGGATGCAAATCATGAGGAACGACTCGAGGAACGTTTTAGTCGATTTCGTTTAAATTTTCGTGATTTTGCCAAAAATTATATTGTATATCAAATTGTTCCATACGCTTGAGACTTTTTGTTTCTGTTAAGTTTTTTTCTCAAGTGTTACTTTAAAAACACTTGCTTCCAGTTGCAGCAAAGTGTATTGTGAACCAATGAAATGATAAGTGCAAGTACAAGCATAAATGGGGTACGTTTGGCTTATTATATCTCCTAAACAAGCGCGTTGACCTATCTTTTTCATTGTATTTTTCACAGACATTGGTAAGGAACATTAAGGAAAGTTAAAAAAATTGTTCGATAAGCTTTTTTTTGGCGGAATCCCCTTAAACGATTATTTTTAGTGCATGCACTTTAAACTTACATGCAGAGGGAGGAGTAGTCGGTGGGGGTGGCTGTGTCGACGGTGGAGGAGCACCTGAGAGAAAAATGAAATATTCAGAAACATTACCCAACTATGAAAGAATGTGCTTCTGCAAAAAGGTTTTGTGCAAAATAAAGTTTGACTTGACACACTTAACAAATGTCAATTTGCATTCTGTTTAAAACAGCAAACAATGCCCTGATTAGGGAAAGATGTTTTTCGTCCTGTCACGAGCGTGGGACAAAAAAAAATAACCTGAGTCCTCATAAGGGTTCAGTTGGATAAATAGTTAAATTAGCGAAAACATTTTATGCGAATTTATTTCGTCCCACGCTCTTGACAAGACGAAAACATTTTTCTCTATTCCTTTAGCGATCTCAAAACTTACCATCTCTCTTACTGTAATGCTTTGATTGTTGGGCACAAGTACTGACTCCTCGGCGCAAGCTTCCTTATCCCTCAATTATCCACTAAAATCAACTTTTTTATTCTTTACTTACGTTTGTTAGGAAAGTTATGTAATTAATATTTTGGTGTATTTGTAAAAAACACGATTGTAATAAACATTAATTTTAACTTTAGAATAGTAACGACCTCTTTCGACTCACCGCACTTATAAAGCAACATCATCTGCCTAATATCAATAGGACTGAGAGCTAATCGGTTACCAATACTAACCTAGAAAGAATAAAAAATGGTTATTTATTCATAAAATGAAGAGCATGTTTCTGCTGCCTCCATTGTCCAAAATAATAACAAAAGTATGATGAATTTGACTTCCAAATCTGCCAATAACGAATGACTTTCCTATTCTTAAGACATCTTAGGCACCATTGTATTTCAGTGCATGATTTATCTTGTCTTTCACTAGAGTTCTGACGTCTAATAAGACTTCGTGCAGTTCTAAACTGCAATCGTGCCCGCCGATTTCAAAGGAAAAATTCTCAAAAAAGCTTAAAAAGTCATATGAGGCGAACATGTCATTTTCCGCTTTTAGGACGTCTCTTCTTTTATTAACCTTTAAAACCGTAATCCACCTACTCCTTAAGAGGAAAGCTGTTTTTTCGGATAGTATAACTTGTCCCATTAATCCATACTTCTTATAACATGTTACCAAGAAATTTAAGGAATCACCTAAAAACTGCTTAAGTCGCTGCTAAAATTTCACGTGAAAATTGATAAGAAACCCGGATCCGTGGCCCTATAATCCACTCACCCCTGGTTTCTTTGGGACAATTGTTGGCTGTCCATTCTTAGAGAAGTACCTCGCACCATAATGCATGATGGACCCATAGTCATAAGGTGTTCCGAACGAGTTTACACTGCTAGATTTTCGGAAATTGCCTTCTTTGCCTGATTGGATATTTTCAAACTTGATTTCGACATAATTATCGCGGTCTGGACGAGACTGCTCGTGAAGAAAGCCAAGAGCGTGACCTGACAGAAAAAAAATTCAAGACGCTTTTAAATATGTAGAGCTGATCATTTGAAATGTACGGATAGGACTTTGTGATTCGTTTTATAGATAGAAATTTGGAATTGAGAATTTAAGAAGTTTAGCCGCCCGCAGTTATCGTCGAGCAGATTGCCTGCACAGTGACTGAATTGGTATTTTTCTTTATTCTAAGTAGTCAAATAGCTTCGGATTTGGAGCTACTTTCGGTTGAATGTCATTTAAGCTTCTGGAACAAACCAAATGTTACCACACAAAAAATAGTTATGACTGTGAATATAAGAAAACAGGAGCCATTACCCGAATCCTCCATACCAATTGTACCCTTGAGTCAACCCTGTCCCATACCTTTTTATTTTTTAGAACTGAGATATGTGTGGGGTTCTTTAATTTCCCGCAAAAACATGCAGACATTCGAATAACACCCAAAAAAAATTGGCAGTCGAAGGCGAAAGGCCGACCTCTATTCCTTCTCTGCATGTGATGTAAACAATAGAGGACCACAGCTATCTTATAATTGGCTATTATGTAAACACCCACGAAAAACTCCGTGGAAGGTGCTTGTATAATTAAAAAGATACGGGACATGGTTGACTAAGAGGGTAAGTATGGAAGATGGAAGCTCCAGGTAATGGGCTCCTGATGAAAATAATATATGTGAACTGCGGTGTAAGAGATGAATATTAAAGCGATCTTCGCAATGATGAACACTACTTAAGCATTCGTGGAAATAAGGCTTGAAAAAAATTCAGGCCCGAACAGGATTTGAACCCATGACCTCTGCGATTCCCTTGCAGCGCTCTACCAACTGTGCTCAAGTCATTACGTTCCGTACAGGCCTGAATATTTTTCAGGCCTTATTTTCACTACTGCCTAAGTAGTGTTCATTACTGCGAAGATCGCTTTCATATTCACAAAAAAATATTGCAGTTGAAGGTCGCTCATACATATCATAAACAAATTAAGGCTACAAAAAAAAGTTAACAAGGCAGTAACAGAAGTTTGAACATCCAACCAATTTCATGGATTACAGTTCCTTTTCTCCAGCATCCAGTGGCCAAGGACAATTGCTGCTTACGCCCAGTGCGTCCCACGTAAGACCAGCATCTATTGAATGAAATGCGGATCTATTAGACAATTACGAGGTGATTTATGCAAATTTGAGCCAAATATGTTTAGACTTCAATTCTAGATACTTTTATTAGCAAAGAGTGCCAAATGCCGCGGTGGTTCTCTCCTTTGACTCAACTTTTGAGTCATATACTTTCATCCATGTTGTTCAGTATTGGAAAACGTTGTTAGTGTACTCAGAAATTATCTACTTATCTACAAAAATTTGAAATCTATCGTTGATGTTTATTTTCGCGACTTTATTTAATCACATTGGCATTACAAATAAAAACAACGCCTTGAAATCAGATACTGAACATGATTTGTTGACCTGAAGTAAAGTACACTTACCCAGAACCCCTGAAAAATGATGCATATGCGTTCTCTGTAGTCCTTTTCTGGAATTTGATACAGCCATTTGTAAGCGTTGTCCAGTCCTTCATAGCACTGTTAATTGCAGTCATTGCTTTAGACTGAGAACCTATAAAAAGGAAGTGGGAGATACAAATTCCAGGCCACCTTTCATAAAAAAAGTTATCGAAAAAGAGAGACAATTTCTTGCGATTCCCACATTTGTTCTGAAGGACAACAACAGCCCTTAACTTCAATAGAGATGATTGTTTCGCCCCATGAGAGGTTTCCAAGATTCTCTCTGGTGTGGAGCATTAGAGGCATATATCAACCGATTGTACTGCAACAAATTGAAAAGCTATGGGAAAGTTAGAAATAAGAGAGATGGTAAGTTTTTGAGCTCGTTAAAGAAATAGAGAAAGATTTTCTTTTGTTTTGTCACGAGCGTGGGACATGGAGACTCAGATTTTTTTCTTTATGGGAAAGTTGTTGTAACTAATGATAAATTTTTGTCTCAGACTTAATACAGCATTCTTCGATCACTTAATGATTGTAGGTTCTTAGCTCTTTGTTGCCACTTGTCATAGGTTTTGTTCCACTCTTCAGTTAAGTCGTTTAAAATGCATAAGAGAGAAAGGAAGAGACTTCTCAGGGTAAATACGAGTGGCATCGTAAAATGAACTTGGTCCAGTCTATCCATCAATTGCAACATAGGCGGTTTTACTGATATTACCATTAAACGTAAATTTGCCAAGTGATAAAATATGTGTATGGAGCTTGGCTGTGTTAACGTTAAATTTCATAATGAAAATGGCTGGAAAACCATGCGTAAGACTTGACCCTTGCTGACATTTTTAAAGTGGTTACGATATCCCTTACTTAAAGAAGATTCGATTTCAAACACAAAGACACCATTCGGCCACAATCTGCCCGGCACTGAACCTCTGGCCTGGCCTGGTAAAAACCTCATATCGCCTTCAAACAGTCCGCCATCTTTGACGTGCAAATTTTCTGGCAAAGAAAATTATTTAGAGTGGTTAATAGGTTGGCCTATTTGTATGAGCTAAATTCTACTAGGAAACTGAATTTATTTTTATCTTCAAAGCTAGACAGAGTTTTGAACCCTTTTTGTTCAAAGGTTCATTTTCTTGGCTAAATTTAACAATTCAGTGCTACTTATAAACAGTAGATGATATAACAGCGTAAACGGCCGCTGGTTATAGCATATTCAGGCAGGCTCAATGAGGAAACAGATTTAGCTGTGTTTAGTAATAATGGGAGATCCGGTGACTCACAATTTCTTCTTTATCGGAAAGGAGAGAAAAGCTCTGCTCACTCGGAATGAGAGGAAAGGTGTCTTAAACTTTTAAAAAATGTTTTCGTTTTTAATAAGGGTTTTTTTTTATTTCTGAAGGTAGGAATTCAGTGGTTTTTGTGAAATTAAATACAAAAAATCAAAAAGCATATAGGACATTTTTAATCTCACCGTTGATAGACATCAAAATCTATGTATTCACAAGAAACATATTTGGTTTTTTGGAAAAAAAATTATAGTTCACTCCAAATGGGCGGAGTTTTTGTTATTGCGCAATTTCTTTACATCGGCTTTCAAACCCTCTCACTTTACTACTCATCCTCTTTTGACAGAACGATATGAAACCCATTTTAATCTGCTAGACAGGGGAGAGAACAACGCCAATAGCGCCCGAATGCTACTGGAATAATTGCTTTTCCTGATTGCGCGAGTCCCTAAGTGATACAGACGACCTTACCCTACAACCTTAACCTAAACATTATACAGCTTTGACGTTATTGTGCAAAATTTGCCTTTACGAGTGTTCTACATTGCTGTCATAAAAGAAGGAGACAATGCCATTGATGATTAATAGTCTTAATTTTGAATGAGATTTAAAGTAATCCATACCTTCTGGGGAGGAGGCCAGAACTGAGGCAAACCACAAGAAATTAAAAAGCACGATACCCTTCATGATGATCTTCGTGATTGTAATGAAATCAGTGATTGCCGACGCCTATTTAATAGGAACCAATTTTTTTACATCTGCTTGCTGTAAAAACAGTCATTAGCAATATTTGAATATCTACGCTTGAACCTTGCCCTTTTTTTGTGTTTTTTCACTCAATTTACAAAATCAGTTAGAGATATAAAAGTATTTGCAAAGGTGCATCCTTTGCTATTTGCGTATAATTCAATTATGTTGTTGATTTGATGACTGCTAAATCACGCGATTACAATGACTTGAATTAAGAAACTTTCGTAAGGAAAGAAAAGCATTTTGAAACAAATTGATTTTGATGAATTCTTTACACAACATGGTGAAGGTTCTTTGTGATAAATATCTCTCTTTTATTCTGTTCCATTAGCTCTGCATACAGGATGTTACGAATTCCCAAGTTCTTTGGTAATAATGGGGAATTAAAATGTTCTTGTAAAGCGGTGTCAATCATCTTAACAAAAATGTTAGCCCCATCGACAAACGATTCGTCACGTACGAAACAATTTGTCTTAGTGAAGTTAAAATGAGCTTTGAGTTCCCCTATCAAAAAAAAAACATAAAATGTAAAATGACGGTTATGTTTCTTGGGTTGCAAGATTTTTATTTTTATAGGGGGGTAGACCACTTGATAACTGAGCCCTTCGCATTTTTCCTCATATTCGATTCATAAATGGATTTGGGGTATACAAAATGACTTTCAAATATAAAGAATACCCTCTCATGTTCAAATGTAAGGTATGCTCTGTCGGTAGCATAAGCTGTAACAAGGTTTATTTCAGTACGCTGCTCACTAATGAGCTTGAGTTTTCAAGAGCTGGGTTTCCGTTTGGCTACATATTGATGAAAATAGCAATTTAAAAAAGGGGGGCCTCCCGATGATCTTAGCTCGTAAATAAAGTTCTGCTGACTAATTTCCTCTGGCGTGGCCGAATGAAACTTGATTTTGAATTTTCTTTGGTGCTGTAACACTCGTGGGAGGATAAAGAAATACTCTCAGAAACCAATAAATAGAATTAATACACTTTATTTCAATCATCCTTGAATTTTAAGAATCAGCAGTCAAATATGGTAATATCGTCGATTGCAGCATCTCCCTTGTAGCTAGTTCCTCTTATTCCCTCGAAAACCAGCTGCAAGAGAAAGAAAAGCTCTAATTGCATTTCTTCCAAAGACTGTTTAACAATTCAAAATGTTGTAACATACCAACCATCATATTTAAGATCATGCTAGATCCTCATGGAGGCGAAATAGGCAATAAAAGATATTGTGAAAAGGCAATTACTTCTTTGGGCCCTGATCCTGTAAGATGACCTTGGAACATGTGCCAGTCATTCCCTTGGTCCCCAGCGTTTTCAAATATCTTCTTGTTACCTAACATAACCTTCACTGTTCCCATGCTACTCCCAAACATGTGATAATAAAACCTCAAGCAAGACTTTCCAGAAAGTGAAACCGTACGGGACATTTTGGCATTGTCATTAACCCCTCGTGGGTATGAAGCCTCAATGTACATGAAGTAACCTAAGGGAGAAATTTAAATATATTTAAACACATAGCTTATGTTCGAAAAGTTATCAGCTTCCCTAAAGAAATGCATTTCAAGGAACACGGACAGGCCCTCTCCCAAACACCCCTTTCTTAAAATTTTGTAATTTTAGCCAGGTTCTGTGTTTTCTCTCGATGAATCATGTGATACTTCGCAGGCTACCAAAATCGTCAGATACATGTACGTAGCTGAAGGTTTAAAAGCGTTTTGATGACAAATGAACACGAACTATTATTGATATGGTTGATAGACAGCCATATTATCAAAGTGATGTCCACGCAATTTTCTAATCTCTCTCTTAAAATCTACCAAGTCAAAAGATAAGAATCTGTGAGCAGCAGAGCAACTTTGCAGCCATAAAAATAGGCCTTCCAGGAGTCTTTCCCATCAAATTGATTATGCTAATGTCTAATTAGTAACGTAAATTAATAATACATGATACTGATAGTTCCACAAAAATTTTGACGACCAAGCCATTGTTTAGAACACAAGAGAGCCTTTGACATGTGAAAACTGATCGAAAATTTGAAAGTGGAGCGAAAAGTTTTGAGTAAAACAAACCATTGCGAGATGTGTGATCTTTATTTGGCCCAGTCCCTCCCGATGGGGAAGGCCCTTTACTTCTTGTCCAGTCAAATTTGTCGCTTGAACTTTGTCTGAATCCACACTCGTCCTCATCGAAATTGCACAAGAAAGCTGCGTGAAAGAAATGTTTAGGTTTTGTGAATTGCATTAGATTTTTTAATTAATGCAAAAATTTAGAAACCGGCATCAACATCTAGAAAATAAAATCCTGGCCCAGAGGTTTGAACGAAGGGAATTTTCATCGAGGGGACTGTTTTTCATTTACGTGATTTTAACATGTCATTTAAAGACTTTTTAATGCTGTAAGGCTGAAGCTACTCACAAGTAGAAGATGGAGGAATAACTGGCGGAGCCTGAGTCTCTGGAACATCTAAAATAGAGAGAAAAGAACAAAAATATCTTATTTGACTAAACAAGGAAGATAAAGAATCTACCTTAGTACAAGGGTTGATTCTTTATCTTCCTTGTTTAGTCAACATCAATTAATTAAAAAGTCTAGATGTTGAATTAGTGCAAAAAAATAGAAACCAGCATAAGTGGAAGCGAGTACATCAAAAAGACAAAAAATAGCACTCGCTTCCATTTATACAAAAAGTTGATCGCCGCTAACACAGCATTGTTCAAGAATACTGGATTTTTTTCTAAAGAGAGCGCTCCTTTTCGATGTTTGTCGGATTTTGACAGGAAAGGAGGCGAATTCTTTAGGGAATCAAAACTTTTACATTGAGAGACAAATCAAAGCTTGATGATAACCGCTGACAAAGCGAGCTAAGTGAAAAAGACAAAATAGAAGCAAACTACCCATCTAACCAAACTTAGTAGAGTATTGTGAAGTTCAAGGAACTTTGATGAATAGTACGAGCTAAAATATAGGGTTCTAGTTCCACGAGTGGGTGCAAAACATAATTTCCTTTTTGAATTTGATATTTAGTTTGTCGCATACAACCATTTAATTTAAACAAAGTCCAAATTTAATGAGAAACATAAAATGCAAAAATACCTCCCCCGCATTCACGTCTGTACAACCGAATCATTTCCTCGGCATCAATACGACTTATGTAATCTCTTTGACCAATGTTTACCTGAAAACAAATGTACGTTGTATAAATCCCAACAAATTTTATACATTCCATGGGTTAAGGGGAAGTGAAAATTATGCTTGACACTTATATTTACTTATTTTTTCCAAAAAACACACACAAGAAGAAACAACAACAACAAAACAGGAACAGGATGCTGAGAAGATGAAGCATCTGGCCCTTGTCTTCCTTGACGTCTGGTTGATAATGCTGCAACATTTTTTTTTTGGAACCTCCCTCTAATTTTGTTAATAACTTACCTCTCGTTTCTTTGGGTCTGTTTTAAGGTGTTTCCTCTAACTTCGGACAAATATTCTCATTAAGCTTTACCAAAGAAATTAAGGAATCGCCCAAAAATTCTTTAAGACAGCATGTTCATATTACTGCTCTTAGGAAAATAGCAGAAAACCCGGATCTTTATTATTTACTCACCCCTGATTTCTTTGGGACAATAGTTGGCTTTCCATTTTTAGTAAAGTACTTGCCACCATAATGCATGATAGATCCGTAATCATAAGGTGTTCCATACGAGTTCACTCTGTATGATTTCTGGAAATTGCCTTCCATTCCTAGGAAATGTCATAGAAACAAAGAGCTCCTAAGAACCTTCTTATGAAAATGATAAGAAAGGCCGAAACGAATGATAAGGGCGAAGAGTTCGATAGTTTCTCAGAGTTATGATGGTTCAAACTATATCTGACTTGTCTTCCTTGACCTAAATGCCATAACGCTTATCATACAGTACCTGGGCTTATGTTCTCGAACTGTATTGTGACATATTGATCCCTGTCCGGACGCGATTGCTCGTGGAGAAATCCAAGAGCATGTCCTGGTAAGAAAGTAAAATATACGTAATATTATATAAACTAAAGAAACAAACACAGTAAGACGAAATTAAAACATTAACAAAACGGGTAAACTACATATATCAAGGTAAATTTACTCCTTTTCTGAATCTGATCAATAGCCAAGTTCTGACAAACGATCGTCTAGTCTTACAAGTAATAACGACCCGAAAATCTGCCCTACATGCTTCTTTCAATCAAAATTTCAATATTCAATTGAAAAACTACCATGACTGTTTCTCCAAATGTCTTTCCCATCGCTAACCGCTCCTAAGGGTCGATACCATTTTTTTAAGATTTGAAATGATCGAGTTTACACACCTACATTTTTGGAAATCACAATCCAAATTTTGCTCTATACACAAGCTCTCTTGATAGGGTAGCCGACTGGCTGATAAACTAAAAAATACGATTGTTCCAAAGCCGTAAACGATAACTAGAACAAACCTATCTCGTGGGCAACAGTGCCGAGATACCAACATCCACTGTCTAGGGACAGTTGTTGTTCCCGCCCGGTTCGTCCCACGTAAGACCAGCATCTATAGAATAAAAAAAATTAACTTAAAAAAAAGAGAGAAAAAAGTTATTGTGTTAAAGTTACTTTGGAATATCAGTGTGCACCCATACCAGTACGTAATACGCACGACTTGAAAGATCTTGGTGAAACAGTTATACTATCTAAGTAGGTAAATACATATAAAAAATAGCGTACAAAGTAAATAAAAAATAATTCGTTTAATTTTGATTAATTTAACTAAGAAAATGAATGAATCCATGAAGGGATTAAAAATTAAGTTTTGTTTAATTAGGTGAAAGTCATGTAACTTTTCTACGATTCATCCGTCACTAATTTAAATCGAGCACATTTATTAGGGCATATGGTATGTAAATATATCTTAACAAGGGGAACCACCTAGAATACCAAAAGGTAACTGTATACCTGGAATACTTAGAAGTTTAAACGACCAAACAGGTTTTTTCAAATACAATTTTCAAAACCTACCCGCCACCTTTGAAAAATTTGACAAATGCGCGCTCATTTGCCGTCTTCTGTCTGAATTTTATGCAGCCATTTGTTTCTCGTTTCCAAGCGTTGAAAGCATTGTTAATTACGGTCATTGCATACGAGGAAGACACTGAGAAGAAAACAAAGGAGACAACTACGTGAGTTGCTCTTTTCAGATTTCGTTTTTGCTACCACATCCTCGATTTACAATCTTTCATCCTGCAGTCTACATACACCAAATTATTGTCAAGGCACTTTTTTGCCAAAGTATGCTAAGTTCAGTACAACACTGACGATGCCGACACTCCGTAACAAGCATAATGTGGCCTTTAAATCGATAAGCATTCTTCGAAAAGAAGATATTTGTCTAGAACAATTTATGAATGGCACATGGTATAACATGCATAATACATATACCATGCACATATTTTATTCCAATCTTTCTTTGTTATCGCAAAAAAAAATTTTTATCAGCTAAGAGAGCAGGGATGGTAACAAGTTTTTTTTTGCAGTTTATGATTGTGTTAGCTGAATATACATTTCGAAAGATTGAAATTCGACATTTTTATAGGTTTTTCGTATCGAGATAGTATGAAGAGTACGACTAACTTACTCAGAGAATAATCGATGTCATACACGAGCGTGCCGCCTGGCCACTGTCTGTTACCCACTGCACCTCTGGTCTGGCCTGGTATTAGCTTCATATCACCTTCAACCAATTCGTTATCTCTGGTGTGAAGATTTTCTGGGAGAAAGTTAAGATAACTTTCATTATTTTTTCATCAACGTTATTTTTGTGCTTGCAAAATTTGTACAATTGGTAGAATTGTTACTGTATGCATCCACCAGTACATCAGTTAAACTGAGAAATGAAGAAAAATAGTATTTTAGGTTTTCTGGTTTTCCATGTTTTCCTTTTGCTTTTGCTTTTGGTTTTTTTTTCTTTTTTTAATTTCGCTTTTTCTTGTTTTGTTTTTCCCAGAAAGGAACGGAGAGAAGGTTGAATTAAAATAAAATTTTTTATTTTTTTTCCTTTATCTTTTGTTATCCTTTTTATAAAACGGACGAAAGTTCCACATCCCTTAAGTTCAATAAAATCACGAAAAACTACATAAAAAGACAGACAAAATCGAAACTCTCTTGGTGATCTAAACCTCTAGTAGTTTTTTTTTGGGCGGGAGTGTTATCGCTTCGATTTCATCTGTTTTGTTTTTTCGGTCGACAAAAAAAAATAGCCTCCTCACATTCAGAGAATGTAAAATGGAAAGAAAATTCTGAGAAGAAACTGCATCAATAGAATTATACTGGTGAACTTGGGAATAATTAATCTTCGACTTCAACACATATAATTCAACTTAAGTTTCACAAGCCCATGTTTTCGCTATATACCTTCTGGAGATGAGGCCAAAATGGTAGCTAACCACGCGAAATTAAGAAGAACAAGAACCTTCATTGTGATGAGATTTGGCAATGATTAAAATGGAAATGGAAGGGATGCAGTCCGAATTAAATAGCTGATATTTTAAGCATCTGGTAATTATAAAAAACAACCATTAAATATATTTGTCGTGCCATCGAAGTTTTTTCATTTTTTTAATAAACTTAGTGCCTACGAGCAGTTCAAAAGAGTGTGCTAATTGGAACTGTCATTCCCTCCATTTTCATCTTTTCATCTTTATCGTTTTATTTTTTAAATCTTTGAATTTGATTGCCCAGCTTTATCTGTTGAAACACGCCCTAGAGAGAAAACAAAGCTTATTCAGCTCAGCTGCTAGATTCTGAAGAGTCCATAACGCTACAAAATAAAACATACTTTGTAAAAATTGTTTCACTTTTGTTTCACACCATTTTCTTCGAACAAAAGATATTAGTATACCTGAACATCTTTGCAAATAATCTACCCCGCTTACATCTTTGTGCTATAACTAAATTACTCTTTTTAGGGGATAAATTGACTTATCTAGTTTCTTGCAGCTGAGTATTTGAATAGTGTCAATCAAAACGTATTAAAGATAAAAAAAAGCATTCTTAACATTCGGTTTAACTGTCTACAACATATTGTATTCTCCGACAATGTTTTTCTTTACGTAATTTTATTGAGCTGTAAAGATCACGTCCAACTTGTCATAAGTTGCACTATATTTTTAAGGACAACTCCGAGGACAGTTTCGAAAAAGAATCTCAGAATGGCCCGAGTAACTGACCAATCTATAGATCAAATAACACAGATATCAAACTATAAAATCTGTTGTTGGCAACAACAGAAACAATTTGAACGTTTTCTAGTCAAGTTTACTATTTTGCTTGGTAAAAAGAAGAATTAAAATCGTTAACATGATCAACAAAACAGTGATTTATTCTCTACCAACACCATTCAAATCGTTGAAGGAAAGACAGTAGTCAAATCTTCTTCCGTGATCTTTGCGTGAGGTAGGGGCGTTACCGCCCTACCTTGAGGTACCTCTACAGGAACTGCTGTTAACGGAAAACTGCTCTGGCGTTGCTACGGTGCAAAAAGTCACAAAAAGCTTAGCAAGTTTTTCGAATTAATAGGCGGCGTCGCCATTCCGTTGCTTTCGCAGAACTGGAGTAAAGACTTCGTTGACGCTGAAAACGCTTCACGAAGGAAGTCAATTCAAGACGATGCTACTTTACCAAATGTATTGACTACTGAAGTGTGCCTTCATCTTCGTTAGGTGGTGAGAAAAGGTTAAGAACGAAATATGTTGTATAAGTTGGTAAATTAAACGTGCTTGTATGATTTGAAAGATTACTTGAGAATGTTGCCAGCTACGCATTGCCCAATCCTTACGAATTGAAAAGTAAAACATGTTGTCAACGATAAAGTTGAAATAAAAACCGGAACTGCTAATGATCTCGTTACTTGTTCCTGCTTCGGTTTGGCGGAAGGTACATAAATTCAAATAAAGCACTGTTATTCTGAAGGAAATCCGTAAAAGACTGGTAACACACAAATTAAGAAAGTGTCCCGTCGAAACTCGCAATATTACATACAATAAATATTTATTTTCCAGCAGGGAACTCGAATATAAAAACAGTCTAAAGTCACCACAGTTTTCAGTGTAGGGACCTGTCTTAAGCAGACAAGTAATTCATTTATTTTAATTTCCTCTCTCAAATGACTTTGTTCAAAGTCGGAAATTGGTTTCTGAAGACATTTTGTGGACGAAAACGTCATTGCAAGAGTTAATTTTTATAGACCGTTTAAAAACCCTTCGTAATTTCTTAATCTTTCACAAAAAGAAATAAAGAGAGTTTTGAGAGATGTGAACGTACATTACAATTAACTAATATAGCATTCATTCATTTCCAAACCCAAATTAAAAAAAAAATCATTTGTTCGCTGCTTGAACTTGAACGGAGGTCTGAGCTACAACGCAAGTGCACATGCAGAAGGTCTTTGCAAATGCTGACGCCAGTGCCAATGCCGATGGAAAACGATGAGCACATGTCGAAAATATACCCAAGTGATAAATAGATATAATATATAAACTTTATTGCCTTGCACAGCAACTGATAGACCCAGTAGTTTACATTGTGGGAGGAAGGTAACATACCCAGGCGCAGCATCGGAAGCGGATAAGGGTTTCCACATCAAGCATAACGGCTTCTTAGATTTTCAAGTGATCTCATGGCTACCTCTCCTGTTCAGGGCAATCGTTCTTTGATTAATTTAAGCTGGGTTTTCGAGAACCAATTGACACAAATTTTGAATTACCACGGCATACTAAAAACCACCCGTTGCCAATATAGACTTAGTGATGATCGTGGCAGAACAGTTTGGCGTCAAAAATCAGGTACTGGAGACGCATACGTGAAACTATCCACCCAATGTAAAAACCCAATTGTTCTTTTCGTAAGATTTTCCGCCTCTCAAGCCGAAAAAAAAGCCCTCGCCGACCCATTTAATGAGTCATAATTGCTTTTTAATTATTATCCGCTGTTTGTTTCGAGTAAAGGAAAACCTGGCCATCTTTTCAAATACACCTGCAGGTCAGAAAAGCATGAATAAAGTAACCAATCAGGCATTAATATGAGCTTTTTTTATAATTTTGTTCAGCTGTTGGATTGAGCGAGGTAAGATTGGATAACATTGGATGCGTACTACAAGTGGCAAATATAAACTTAACATTCGTTTCGAATGGAATCAAGCGAAATTGTATTTCGTGATTGTGTCTGTCTTAATGTTTACAAAGCTTTGAACACATGATAAATAACATTTTAAAAATGCTTTACAATTTTTTTTAAACGGTTACCACAATCATTCAATGGGGTCTAAGATCTGAAGACCTTACATGATTGGAAAAGTTAGACACAAGGTTACCTCAACAACATATAGATGTCTCCACAAACAAAAATCGAAAATTTTAATGCCAAATACAGTTCACATCGAAATGAAGCATTACTGCAAATAAAAGTTTTTTTTGTCTAGAAGACATTTGATTTCCCTCAATCTTTGCCTAATTACAGAAATCATGCTCACAACAAATGATTTCACTAAAGCAGTGTGGGTCAGCAGCCGCATTTTTCGAACACCAGTTTGGATGCTGGTAATTTATACAATCAGAGTCTTTAAAGCATCCTTTCATGTATATTTTATGAACTGATGAGCCCAATGAAAGTAATCCGCAACGATCTTGTCCATTCTGGCATCTTTGTTCACCCTCTCTTGAACCGCATTCCTCCCATGAGTTGAAACTACGGCAATCAAAACACGACAGACGATCTTGGTTTTCTCCTGGTCAAGCAGATAAGCCAACAAATGATAGATAGATGAGAAATGAAAATAAGATATGGAAATGATAGTTTGAGTGAATGAATAAAGAATTGGGAACAAAGAAATAATGAGCAAAAATGGATTTAGATAAAGATGTTTTACGTATTGTCACGAGCTTGGGACAAGAAGAAAAACATCTTTCTCTATTTCTTTACCGAGCTCAAAACTCACCTTCTCTCTTATTCTATTTACAAAAATAGATTTGAATTTTGCTTTTAGAGATCTCATGAAAATATCACATGGCGGATATCCAACAAACTCATCAAATCAGATCATTGTAAAATGACTGGTTCACTGAAAACACCCAGCTTTGAAAGTTTTTTAATTTATTTCGTTTCCCTTCCAATTTGTTTTCAGGTATTAACCTCCCTCTAAAATCGAGACGAGACTTACAAGACTAAGTGTTTTGAATTTAAATTCTCAGCCCGATCATCGTTTTGGATGGGAAGATCATTAGATTTTGCAGAATTACATGCAATACATGCACATTAGAACTCCTTTTGTTTCCATCGCAGTTGAACTGTTGGCTTATTTCAAACCCAAAAATTAATTTAACGGTCAATGATCGGCTTCCCAAAGTCCTCACGTACCCTAATAACGTAATCATTAATACAAAAAACTTACCAGCATCTGTAAGCCAAATACTTGCTAAGAGAAGCGTTACCATAAATTTCTTCATTATCGCACGTTCAACAGCCTTGCTCAGCAACCTTTTCGTTCTCTGGCTTTATTAAGTCACTTTGCTTTGCTTTGCTAACTGTTTAGGATGATTAGAAAAAAAAGCAAATAGACTTTTTATTGTTCCCACTTGTGTTTGTGAATTTTGATTAACAAACTCATATCAATAATCACTTGTTAGAGATACGGAGTAAAATAATACTTATTCGTGGCTTATTGCCTCTGTAATATCATTTTAATGGTCTTTCATGGCTTTTGTTTACCTCCCTACGTGCCAACTGAGAGAGGTGTTTTGAGAACATCGAGAACCGACGACTACAATTGACATTTTCGAAAATTACATTACAGGTATGAGTGCGCTTGTCGAGGAAAAATTTTGACAAAGAAGTTGACTTTTCGACAAAACGATCTTTTCAAGGAAGGCTTATCAACTTGCGTAAATACAATCTACCTTTACTCCTCTACGCTGATCTTTCCGAGTTAACCTGGACATGTTACGCTGAATAACGCTGAATACATTAAAAAGGTAAAGAATTATGGACCTGTAGCGTCTTTTTATTTCCCGGAAGATTTTCCCAGAGGTAGTTTTTAGTCTCTTTATGTAAACAACCTCTTTTCTCTCCGTAATAAACAGATCCAATATGTAAATCGTTCCTCCAGTTCGGAACTCGTAAACGATATCGACTTTCATGATTCTTTATTCCCTGCACTATTTGTAAAAACCTCCCGGTTTTCTCTTGAAGTTTTAAATCAAATATTTTACTTTTTGTCTTGAGTGAATTATGTAGAGGAAACAAAACTCAAAGCAAACCTTTTAGGGCCGAAAACATTCTCCTATGTTGCCATCGGTTGCCTGCCACGTCAATTTACACTGCTTTTCATTTGTTAATTTTATTTACATCTGAAATTCTAATCAGTCAAATAGGTTGATAATCATAACAACGAATCTCATTGTTTCATTCAATCAAAAGCGCTCATGAAGCAAGGTTTTACATTTTCCCGCAGTTTTTTAAGGTCTTAGCCGAACGGTAATTGAATGTAAGCTACATTACTAAACAAAAATCGAACTTTAAAGTGACTTATTGTCGATGTAAGGGCTATGAAGTTTTTTAAATATGATTTAAACTTTTAGAAATGGCGTTTGACTTCTTCGCCTTCTTAATCAAGAGATCATTTGGATATCATCTTGAAGAGTGTTGGGAAATTTCTATCTTTCTTGCTCAGATGTCTTCTACACAATAATTTAGTTATCTTTATTTCTAACTAAGACTGACAAATTTTAAAATTTCACAATAAACCTTCACGTGCAAACCTATTGGGCCAGTGAAATTTAAATTAATTCATCATAGAGATACAAAAGAAATAATTTATTTTGAACGTATCGTTTATATCTTTCACGTCTGAATCAGTATAACGATATCGTCAGGGTAAATTGGTTTATAAACAAGGCCGTTTTTGATTACTTTCTCTGAGTCTGAATTAACCTTACCTTTCCCTTTTTTTAAACGAAAAAATAATTTCGTTTGTAACAAAGAAATCTTGTTTTATTCTTTTTTTTTACGTTTGAAATAATTTCTTCAGGTCTACGTACAGGTGATTACTAAGTGAGGTAATTACTCAAATGAGTCTAAAATCTTTTTCATTGTCAGTAGCATTATTTTGTCTAAATTTTTCGTTGATATCGCTTTTGAAATAGACTTTGAACTGGAGGATGCGACTCATCGTTCTGATAAATGTCTTTTACTTTTTCAAGTCACTCACTTGTAAGAACGTCATGAACAATCAAGGATCATACAGGGTTTGTACGAGAAAACGTGAAATGACAACTGACATAACTTTTTGGTAATTAATCTTGTTCCATTTGCTCCCCAATACAGCCGTACCAAAGTATTCGTTGCGTTGCACCTTTCTCTAATGATATCGTCTTTGTCATTTCCTAAAGATTTGTCAACTCTATAAGAACTTTTTTGTCAACGTACCACTAAATCATGTTAATCATACCAAGCGACACGAACGTAAATCTTTTTTATTAAAGCTTTGGAATATCCACGGATTTTAGCACTTTTAACGTTTTTATTTCCCATGTCGTGAAAATTTCCCTTTTTTTGAAGTACTATACGTCTTAATGTAAACACCTTATGTTTTTTTTGTAAAATACAATATGCAAATTACTCATTACATGTGGTCAGGCAAATAAGTACTTTCTCTTATTTACTCTTTTACGAGGCTTGTCGATTTTCTTTTGTTACTTTTTCCCAGATGAGTTAATTTGCTGTCATTGCGGGAGATAAATGTAGTGAGTATTAAAGTAAACTACGCTTCAAACGTGAGGACGGCGGACCTTTCTTGTTCTCTCTAGTTGCATTTACATGCCGCATCAATTTACATGTTTTTCTATCAGTGATATCATTCAAATCCAAAATTGTAATTGAAAAAGTGGGAAATCATTTTTGTCCAACCTTGCTATACGAGCGAGAAACAACAAATCTTGTGTCATTCATTTCTGATCTAAGGTAAGAAATATTATTTTTGTACAATTTACTTGAAACAGCCGGCAATTGATAAAGATGAGAATAATTTCGCCGTGAGACCTGAAATGGTAAACCAAAAAATTTCAGAGGTGAACAATGAATATAGTGATTGGGAACTGAAGTTCAAAATCACGTCTTGTATCATTGTGGGGAACACAGTGTGTTTTAAGAAAGGCAAATGTTAGAGTCAAGGTCTTACGATGTACGTGATATGTGGGATAGCTTTGGCAAGACACCAATAGCCAACTGCAGCCAGCCCTGAAAGTTCCAGAATGGAGTTTCCCGTGGAAAAGAAATATAAGTTACATTATACCATTAAATTCATAGAGTATGATTTTAAAAATGTAATTTTCTCGGTGTAATTTCGAGTTTATTTAAAACCGACAGCCTGCTTATAGATGTCTAACTTTTCACCAGAGTAACAAGAATTGTAAAGAATTTGCAATGTAAATTACGAGAATTTGAGCTTCATTATGATCAAAGTGGTAAGATAGCCTTTAATGTACATGGTTATCTAAACCAGAACAGTATGCATATGCGTTGAAAACGATTTTTTTAAAGTATTTCTGGACGCGAAAGAATACGTCATTCGTGGGACAAAAATTAATCAGTAACCAATTTCAAAGTAAATATTTAAAAGAAGAAGTTAAAGAGGCCACAAAAAGCAAACATGCCACCAACGAAACAACATTGCAGAGGGGAAATAAACAACGAAAAAACAAAAATACCTCATTGTTTTATGTTAAGTAGACCCTAAGTCCTAACCTCGCGTGTGAAACGGTGATGGTATCAAGAAACAGTAAGTAAATTTCTGACACGCTGGCATATCTTTTATTGCTTATCAGTAGATTTTACCTGCTTGCGATCGTCACTTTTTATCATCATTTTAAAGGATGGGTCCTAGACGGCTTAAAAGAGATCTTATGATGAGTTGTATTTCACGTAATGATCCATTGAAGATCCCTGTTTCGGTTGAATTTGCTAAAGTGTCTAGTTTTCCTTGTGCATGTTCGAACAAAACGAAACGAAAAATTCGATGTAAATAAAAAAATGGCCTATCTTTAAGAAATTTTTAAGCCGCTCATCGCTTTAACGCTGTCTTCTTGCCACAATTTCTCGACCCATCGAAATATAATAGAAGACGTGATAGTTGAAAACCTACTATGTCAAAGAACCAGATGATTCGATTTTGAGAGCTTTACAGTGGAGTAATTTTAAGGGAATATTCTGTTCGGTGATAATTGAACACTTTTAATGGATTTCGGTAAAGGGAAATGTTTTAGGTGTGCGTATCATTATCCAAAAGAGAGTAGAAAAAACCTACTAAGAACACTCAGGCTTAATAAATCATTCTTTATTTGTTTTATGTGGCCACGTGGAAATCATGCGCGACTTTTTCTCAGTGGCCACGGTAACGAATCCTGCAATCTGGTTGGCTCTTAGTGCGATCCGGATTTTCCTATCTCTGCCCACGGGCACGGTAAAGCTTTCGTAGTTCACCGAGAACATCCCTAGCTTCGTTGCCATTTCAAGCAAATTATTTTTACGCAAATCAAGCCGATTAATGACTTATTAATCGTCTCTTTTCTCACTCTCGAATCACTTTGGTTGACAGCAGAAAATTGTTTTCGAGATGAGTTTGTGGTAGTAAAGGTGTCATTATTAAATGGGTTAACGCGCGGCCTAAAAACGGAAAGTTAAATCTGTGAGATATTTGTTTCCAGTTGAATTAACCGATGGAACTTTCATTCGTGTAATACCTGAATTCTCTAAAACAATTTTTTCGTTGTAGCGAAGTTTTCAGTCCTACGACAAATACGTTTTCGGTAGTTTGGCCATTTGTACCGTTAATTGCACAACAAAAACCGAATGAATTCAACGAGAAAAAGCCGCTTTAAATTCCCCTTGGGCCTAGTTAAGGTGTCTCAAAACATACATTTGAATTTACAAACAATTACTTCCTTGCAATTTACAGAAGTACTCTTCGTACACTAATCATCGATGGAACTGAATATTACTTTCCGTAAGATCGTTAAAAGGTTTTTAAAAAAAAATTGTCGTGACAGTCATTGAACTTGAGTTTGTTTTTTTCTTTTTTTTCAAAAGTACACATGCGCTTTTTTTTTGTGACAGATGCTTGTAAAAAATGTTTCAAAATTTGTTTGGAAGTATTTTAAATCACCTTTATCGCTACACTAACAAAATTTTTTTGGTGAAGTCTCTCTTTCAATTTGAATTACTTCTGTTTTAACTGCCATTTACTAGCTCAAAATTGTACAGTTCAAGGAGGATCGTACCGTAATTACAGTCCTAAATTATTCGGGTTCTTTTGACAGGAATTCGTGAAGTTTTAAAAAAAAATTAAAATGTTATTCATCAGCCTCGGTAGGTTCGCATTGGGAAAAACTGTTTCCTCTGTCTTGAGTACTCAAGACCTCGGCCACAGGTTTTCCCAACACGGACCATGACATATTACTAGTGCAATTTGGTGTAAATAAGCTCGAGCAAATTTTTCGACGAAGACAAAATTTGCAGAGCCCGTAGGGCAAGTGTATTTTGCAGTAATACACAGAATCGCACAAAATCGCAGAAAGTCAAGACAGACGAAATTTTGAAAGCGTGCGCGGTACTTATAATTTGCACTCGTGTTCCATGAGAATGTACTCGTTTTCAACCAATCAGAAGCGCGTAATTTTTTCAGGTACATTACGAAAAGTGAATACATAAGGCCGTGGAATAGCTGTAAATAAAGGAACAAAGTTCCCACAGTATTTAAGCTCCTCGTTTTATCTTTACTTATTCATTTTTCTGTCATTATTGTCCTGAATAATTTAATCGCAAGAAGAAATCAACAAATACGCGTGCGTAACTTTTTTTGTATCTTTGCTGATATAATTTTACCATGTCCAAGCAGTAATTGAAAAATTAGTTAAATTTATCTTAAAGTTTTGATCCAGAAAATACGTTAAACTCCATACAGCTAAGGCATTACATCAATAAGGGCAATAGGCCACTTCAGAACATCTTTCGACCTCGTTTTTGTTTTACAATCTTAACAGGGAGATTTTACTAATGTAATTTTAACTCTTAGTCATGAGAGGACAAAGCACCAAACTAATTAACCTAGATGTATTACGTTTCTTATCAAATTCCTTTTTTTCTTAGAGTGCCATTAAAATGGTGTTTGCGTGGTTCAAGACCATGATTTCGCTCTCGCCCGACCATAAGCTCACGAAGACAGCCTTATTCACCCAATGGGCATCTTTAGTAGCATATGGAGGTGGAGGACTATCTCTACTGTGTTTTCCTAAAGTTTGGAGCGCGATTCTTGCTTTTGAAATTAGCCACACAGATGAAGGATTTATGAGGATGTCTGGTATTTATCTACTCGCTGTCGGCTTCTGTTATATCATAGTCGCTAGAAATGGTTCTTGCGTTGGGAAGCAGGGGCCTATGTTAAGCAGTGTTTTCGAAAGACTTTTCCTGGTCAATGCAGCCTTGTTGATGTCATTTCTTCGAGGCATGGTACCTCTGTATTTCGCAACACTCTTCATGACACTGGACACAACTCTGTCAATGCTTACAGTTTGCATTTGGTTCAGAGAAACTTCTCATGCATCGGCTAGGACCTTGGTCGAAGAGGTATTTGGCTCATTGAAAAATTCATGGTCACTTAACCAACGTGCGTTATCATCTCTGGTAGTTCAAATAATCGGGTTTTTACAGTTCAGTGGTGGTGTAGTATTGATGATATTCCCTACGCTCATCGCCAAACCACTCAAGCTTCAACTAAACGAAGACCAGAACTATTCATTCCAATCATGTTGGTTTTTATTAATCGCAATTCTCGGATGGTTCCATATCTTTTCTGGTGGCGCAGATCTTACATCCTTTGCAATAGCTGCCGTTTTCTACCGCGCGAGTTTTGCTGTTCCATTACAATGCATTATGTATTTTTGCGATCAACTCGAGCTAAATTTTCTTTTATTCGTTGGATCATTCGAGTGTACATTCACCGCGGTTATCATTTTATTTATTCTTCTCGACAAAACAAAACAAGCGACAAGAATACAAGTTTTACGACTGACGCCAGAGCCACTTGAAAATGGAAGGGCAATAGACATCGTCACTAAGAGCACTACTGCTCAGGACTCAGTGAAAGATCAAGGCACGCTGTGAAAAACTTAAGTAATTTCTGTTAAAACAACCAGTTCCATCCGCTAATTTGTGTGATTTCGAATGAGGACACTAAGGAATCGAATCTAAATTGGTGGCACTATTCCTCAGTATGGGGGAGAAGGGAAGCGCATTATTTATATCGGCATTCACTTCTACATTACTCTTTTTCATTTTGCCACTAATGTTTTTGATCTCTTCTATACAGCAATAAAATTGTTACCGACCTTTAGTGAGATTTAAAGTCAGAATCATATATGAGGAGTATCTTGTGAATAAACTCCTTTCGGGTGGCTGGATTGTCGGCTGCAAGAGCTTATAATACTCTCTTGCGGCTGATAAAGTCTACGACTGAGAGATCGTGTTAGTCAAAATATATACCTGACCGGCATCTGCAGACCATTTTGAAGCTCCTTGACACGTTTTTGATGCTGCATTCTCAGTAAGGGTGAGTTTTATGTTTTTGTCACACCTTTCCTGTATCAGGCGATATTGGATTTCCCACAGTCTGAATTCCAAACGTCCTGCGTCGAAGTTAGGAATGGATGAAAAGGTTCCCGGCCCTTCGGGTGGCCTTTAAAATGAGCACAAGTATGGAAAGACCCCGTTCCCGCACAGAAATCATAAAGAAAAATTCAGCAAAAGCCGAAAGTGTAGTTTTCGCCGAAAAAATAGCTCAATTTGGACGAGGATCGTGCCCACTTTGAGGTTAGAGTATTAGTTTGCCGCGGCGAAAGAATAGCTGTAATAGGGTTTGGCGTATTTGGTAAGTTACACATATTCAATTCGTGTTCTTTTTTTCCACTTTGTATGACTATTTACTTATTCGAAAAGAAATCCCTGATTTTCTGCACCTCTGACGGTTGAAGACCTGCGAAATTGTGAGCCAAGCCATGTAAGGGAGTTAAACCACTATTGAGCTATTTTGCCTGCAATACGATAGTTTCCTCGTCCTAAAAGCTGTTTTTATCTGCTTAATTATAATTTATCGATGTGCACATAGCAATAATATGCCTGTCTTCTCGCTTTTTCGCGCCAAGCGCAGTTCATAAATGTTGGAAATAATCATTCTTTACACCGTTATCATCCACAGAATATGGATGCGAAGGATTCCAGGGCAAGTGACTACGGCCAATTAAAAAGTTGAGATCAAAGCCAAAAAGAATTTCCATAAAATGCTCCCCATAGCTGCTCTTATATTCGCTTTATTATGGCTTTCAGTTAAAATTAATGTTATGCTTGGACCTTACAACCGTTCTCCCTCTACTTTAACTCCTACTCGCGATCGTCTATTCCTGGCACTCTTCTAGACCTGTGGTAATTGTGTGAAAAATCCAATTATCTAAATTGTATTTGGCCGGGATTTTAAGGGAAAGTTTCAAGGCGATCTGCCCCTTCCTACCCTGCTTCGATGCTGAACTGTAAACAGCCAAACCAGGAATATTATCGAGATCATTTTCGCTGTAAAACACAATGGTCACAGCAGTCTTAGCCTGACGAAATTGATAAAGGTTGACAACTAGAAGAACTTCACGTTTTAGCTCTTCGAAAACTACCAATAAATGAATCACATGCACTCATTTGGATTGCTCTTCGTGAATATAACAACATTTTGGGAAGCATGAGATGGAAGTCAACTTGCAAATGGTGCGAAACGTTTCAGTTCCTGGAAACAAGTGGACTTCATACATGGAAGAATATGAAAAAGTCCAATGTCTGGAGTGTATGTAACTGGGAAAATGTCGGAAACCCATTCAATTCCTCATGGTGTACTTCAAGAGTATTTACTAAATACTTTTGATTAGACTTATTCTTACTAGTTATCTACAGGTCTTCACTTTGTAGGCTGGCATCTACATACATAGCAAACGTTTCCTACTACTCCAAGTGAAAATGATGCATGGAAAGGTAGTCACGTGCCCTAATGTGTCATAAACATTTATCACCCTGACGGAACTCCAGTGCGTTAGCAGAGCGTTCATATTTCAGAAAATAAGGCGGTTGTTTCACTTAACGAGCGCTTTCCTCGGCACGGAATAGATAGCATAACCAGATAGCGCTTCATAATCATATTTCAGGTTTTTTGTAAAATGTTTTGCATATGTTCAGTTAGTTGATGTAATATTGGCCAGCAATTTATGTCATTCATTTCCAAGTAACTTAAATAAGGTAAAGCCCATTTCATTGGGAAACAAGCCAAGGTTGAATATTTGTGATCTCCTGGATGACTAAACTTGAAATCTGCGATAGAATGATTAGAAGTGACTGATTGGCTTCGAAATTCTACTTCGTCAAGAAAAAGTGATTATCTCTGTGGACCTTTAACAAGAGAGACTAGAGTGACTAGCATGTAAGAGTGATTAGCATCTGATTTCTCCTTACAATATCGCCCCAAATTCACACATAAGGGTCACAAGAAAGAAGGACATAATCACAAACGATAGAAGCTCTGATTGTTAAACAAATTCTCCTTGTCAGCATCCTGGGAAATGTATTGAGAACAGTATGGAGAATATGTCTACTGATGTTAGGGTGTAAAGGGTTAAAAGGCTGGTGAAGGACCAACGGTCAAGGTTTAAGACAAACCTCGGTTCTTAGGTGTGACGGCGGTGAGGAAGTGAAATTATCCAATTATAGTTCATTTTGATATTTCAATGCAATCGAACTTAATGAATTAAAAAACTTTAAAGTTGCTTTTAAAGGAAACAGATTTAGCGTTTGCAACGACTGCCAAGTTCCAAAACGAAGCAAAACGAAACGAGTCCTAGGCGTTTCGCAACTAATGAGTGACTCTACAGGTTGTTCCCAAAGACAAATAACCCACGGAAAACCAAAGCTGACGGTTATCGGCGATTTATTGCATCAGAATAAAAGATCGTAAACTGAAGCAACAACGCAACAGATTTTTATCAATTTAGTGGAAAAAAGTTGCGTACTAAAAGCCAAAACTTACAGGAGACAAATGAACGATTTTGAGTATATAGCGTACTGAAATTGAAAAAAACTACATAAATGATGTACCAGCATAAAAACTATGTAAAACACCATGCGATATCCAATCAAAGAATTACACATTAAAAAAGAAACTAATTAACAGCCTCAGGCTCTCGAACTTAAGACGGTCGGCGTTCTCTCTGGTAGCGTCAAGAGCGTTTTCCAATTTACACTGTTATAAATTAGTTCACGTTGCTCAATAACGTTCATTTGTATTCTTTCGCCTAGAACCATTCAACGTGACCTAAACAAAATGACAAAGGTACTCACGTATCGATCCCGCTTGAGTCAATGGTTAAGAATTAAGAAACGTCGAGAGTGTGAGGTTGACAAGGCCACGCAAAATTTAACGAAAACTATCCTAAGAGAACGCGGACTCAGCTTATATATGTACGTGTTGACGCTAAAAAGTCCGATTAGAAAGTCAATTAAATCAAAAATAATTGTTGCCACTACGTGCGTAATTACGATATAGTGATAGAGAGACAATTATTAACTAATCAAAATGGGTCTTTGTCTAGCGTCCTTAACACCAACTTTAGTTGAATGTCAGATAAATTTGGTCTAAAATTGCAAGACTGAGATTTAATCAGATGGGCTGTTTTGTCTACACCTGCCTTTGCTGTAAACGTTAGCCATGCTAAATCACGACATCGTCGAATAATTTTCCCTGGAAAAATGTATAATTAATGAGTAAAGTCCTTGGCGCGTTCAGTCTCTAACTACATAGTCAATTATATTGGCGTTTCCTTTCAATCTTAAAGAAAAAGGGCGAAAGAGGAACACAGAAGTCCAAAAAGCAAAAGTAGGAAAGTACGAGGCATGCACTTTAAATATAATAAAAACCTTCTAAGACAATTGGGGAGTGGCAATCAAGGATGAGACGTCATTGGCCAAATGATAAACACTATGAGACACTTTTAGCGGGGCTAGTAGCGAGACAGGTGCATGACAATAAAGCTATCTAATGAATGGTCATTTTGATAGTTTAATGGAAATGTTTAATTCAGTAAATTTTTAAAGTGTTTGTCCATGAAAATATACAGTTGATACAAAAAGCCTTTAACTCTATCTAAACTGCATATGACGAGTTAAAATTAAATTTGTAATTTAATAAGAATTGTTATATTGTCTACAACTGCTGCTGTAGACAATGTGAGCATTTACAAAGTTGCTACATCTTATCGTTTTCATTTTCAAAGAAAAAATTGCTCGAACTAAAAAGGGGCAATAATAAGGAGAGCCTCCTCTTATGAATGATTTTTTTTTATTTTTGCGAATCTTTCGGTATTTATTTTGTTCAATGTAAAGAGATGAAATTATTTGATATGTGTCATTTGATCTGTTAGACACCTCGCTTAAAACAGAAAAAAAGTGCTTTGTTAAGTTTTAGTGAATATAAATACTTGATTCGATTAGCTCCAATCCAACGAGTCTCTTTTCTCACTATTAACTTATCATCCCTTCTCATGGAATGTTAAATTCTCAAATTTATCCAAGAGCGTCGAAAATATTCAGAAGTTCACTTTATATATAAGACAACCCATCAGCTTGCGATACTATTGTAATCGCTATTTCTCTCCACTTTTAGCGTTGAAATGATATGCGTTTAATAGTTTAGCAACAAAACACTCGGGCTGCTAATAATTTTGAAATGCACTTAAAGAAGCCAGCTGGTTAAACAACTGAAAAAATAAAATACTTCCTGGATGACACTGTTGTCAAATTGACTTTGGTCTGATGACTATCAACAACATGAAGTTCACGGTGATTACCTTACTTACGCTGCTTCTAGGAGCTTTGGAAGGTAGTATGTGAAAGTAGAACGTGCATGCTTCTAAAACCATTGTGGAGATCCTCAGGCTCGAAAAAGCAACATCTATAGAACACTCTTTGAAATTTTTCTTCATGTTGCTCTCTCATACAATATAGCTTGACTCTTAAATCATCATGCAAAAATAACTTTTGCCTGTTATCGAATCACTCCCGATTGCTATCTTACGTTTTCAATTAATTAATCGTTTTTTTCGAAATTTTGCGGGCACCTATATCCCAAAAAATTATAAATTTCATCATCTCATTATCATCTTCACCATCTTCGGGAGTGATTTCCCAATGTCTTAACCGATGTATCTCTTATTTATCCATTTCTTTATAACCATTTCTTTCTTAGTCTTTCTTTCTTATTTTACCTCTTCTCTATTTCTTCTTCTTTACCAAGTGAACAGTTTGATGTGCTATCAGTGCGAAAGCTATTCATCTCCAGCTGATTGCGCATCAAAGGAGATTCAGACCACGTGTGTAGGTGGGTCAGTCAGATGTGCCACAGTGGAAGCAAAGTATGAAAGCCACAGCATATCTTCGCTAGTTATTGTGAAAGGTTTGTTTCAGTTTAGAATGTTTAAATGGTCTATTTGGCTTATTTTTTGGGAAAATTTTATTCTGAGAGCCGTTTGAAAACAGATCTCTCTATAAATTTTCCCACTCTCATTGATTTATGATACATAAAGATGAGAAATGATCGAACGAGCGACTTATGAAACCCAAAGTTGATGTTCTCAACTCACTAGTGTTGTCTATCTGTATTCAAGAATTGATATGTTCCTGGCCTCTTCCCACCCGTCCTCCATTCGCTTTTCAGTTTTACTTGTTCTTTATTTGTTTATCTTTTTGTTTGCTTTATGTATCAAGGTTGCGCACCTACCGCTGCTTGCGATGGGGAAATCGATATCTGTGGCCAAGGAGAGGGAATGGAATGCGACATACAGTGCTGTTCAGGAGACTTGTGCAACGATGATTACGTTGAAGGTTAGTAACTGTGTTAAATAAATCACCTTAAACATTTGGAGGCGATGTAACTTCTACAATTTGCAGCGGGCTTTAAATCAAACGTTCAGCGCTGTTGGCTTCGAAAAGCAACAGGTTTGCAATTGTGTAGACTGCACACGAGTAATGCTTGATTTTTTTGTTTTCATGTCTGTGTCTTAACGTCGAATCTTTATTTACTTCTTGACATCTTAGGAAGTGTTGTGAAGGATTCCTTCTGCCATGCATGTGTCAGCAACTCCTCAATGGCCGACTGCATTGAGAGTCAAACACAAGAACAATGCTCTCTCAAGGAAAACCGTTGTGGGGTCATGTTTGCCCATCAGGGAGAAATATCGTTGTTTCGCAAAGGGTGCATCCCGGATGATTTTTGCTCTTCTCTATGTCAAAATGGACACATTGAAGGCGATCCAAGTATCGAGTGCGAATTATACTGCTGTGAAGGAAGCCTTTGCAATGATGAAAATATGGGAGCTAAATGAAATTTTTGAGAAAGGCAAGCTTTGAACAAGTTTCGTGGTTGTTAACTGATTGTGAGAACTTATTCCCAAGTTTGAATTAAAGTGTTGCAATGGTTGATTTTCACTTTTGTTTGATGACGATGAAATGTGAAAAAAGTGAGTCAAAATGATTCAGACCTTATCTGGCTCATATCCGACTAAACATCCCTTATTTTTTCATTCGTAATGAAAAAAATGTTCAATAATAAATAAACCAGTGCCTTTTACTTACAGCTTTACACTGAGGTATCACATTACGCAGGCTGACATACGTTTATGGCAACAAAACGCCGACAAAATTATTTCCAATAAAGGAAACAATAAACTTATATAAAATTTTAATTTGATTCGAGACAAATGATAGCATAAGGTGACCAAACAAAATTGTGATAAGGCTTTCAAACCTTTTAAAGAAAGGCAATATCAATAGCATTGAATTTCTATGTAGACAGCTTAGAATTGTAGTTTACTTGGTTGAAAAAAATATATACAATTAGAACCTTTTTTGACCATGTTTTGGTAACTCTCCCTCACAAATCACCCTAATCTGGGAAGCTGAATAAATAAAAGGAGGTACATATAGTCTGTCCCTGTTTCTTAAGGCCATTTTCGTTTTCATCTAAATAACGAAGCTTTAGATTGTGTTCATCATGAAGTTTGTTGTACTTCTTCTGGTCACTTTTCTTTTTCATGATGGTAAGCTCTAATGTATCATGGAATTTAAGCCTTTATAACCTTGTTTGCAAAGAGCGTCACGAATTTGTGACTGGCTTTTAATGAATTACAAAGAAACTTCAGTTAGTCGGTCGAAGAGTTAAGAGGAAGCGAGAGCGCACACACACGGCTTTAACTGCAGCCAATTGGTGTTCTTAGGTTGCTTTGGGAAGGTTTATTGCGTTAGGCGCCTAGCTAGATTTGAAATGAAATGCTAGTTTACAGCAAAGCGCCGTCTCTTTTTAATTGAAATGGGATAGTTTTTCAATGATAACGTAGCAGTAAGAAACATCAAGAGTATCTCTTTTTCGTTTACTACTTTTTATGAAGCAAAAGGAAACGAAGTGTTGTCCTGTTTGCATTGCTCGAGTTTCCTGTCAATGGATGACTGCACTGAAAACCAACGAGAGCAAATCTGTTTTGGAGAAGAAAACCGCTGTGGAACGTTCATCTCCCACTCCCCTGGACTGCAAGGCTACGCAAAAGGATGCTTAACTGACTTTCTCTGCCAGGAATACCAAGCCCAGGGCTACTGTGAGCAGAACCTTGGAGTTGAATGTGAAGTAAAATGCTGCCAGAGTAACCTGTGTAACTACTAAACTCCCAGTTTCCACTGGCAGCTTCATATTCTTGTTGCCATAACACCAGAAATAAACATTCAATCGCTGAATATGCTTTATCAAACATCTTAATCTTAAATGTTTAGTTTAGAAAAAAACATACATATATATCAGAACAACGACCCATTTAACACAACAATTTCGTTCCTTAGCAGTTCGGTGAAGTGTAGTGAGCAGATTGCCTGTAGGCCTTAGCCATCTTCTACATAGAAGGCTGCAAGGATGCATTTTCCTCCGTTCAATTTTAAAGCTGATAACCATGAATTAAATCGGGTAGTCTGATCGTCCGGGTGAGGGTGTTCCTGAGAAGGACTAATTTCATTAGGGGTGACTGACTTTTCGAAAACCTGACTGAGTTGATGTGACTCTGATGACGTCTTCCGCGCAGGTTGTCGAAACATATAAAATACATATGAAACATGAAATACATAACATTCTTGAAAACAATGGCGGGAAAGTTTGTTTTCATTCAAATCCGAAACCCAAAGTATTTTAAAAAGGGATAATCTTCCTTTCATTTTCCTTGCGATAAAATTCCGCAAAATGCATATAAGAAAAGATTATCATCAGAGAAACTTGGTAATGTCGACTTTACTTTTTATTCTTTATGATTTTCTTATTAGCGATTTTTCACAGCCGATACAATGTAACCTCTACTTGAGTGAAGGATTTAATCATGGCAAAGCAAATGCAACAATGAAAAGGTGGCATACATCACGAACTCAAAAACAATGTGTTGTATTCGGTACCGATAGCAGAATTCCAGAAGCGTAACGTTGCCCTTAAACTTCTTGAGGTAGAAATTTGCGAAAGTAGACAAAAAAATATTTCTCAAAGATTACATATGATCAAAATGAGTTATTAATTTAGATTATCCTTGCATGAATAGCCAGAAAACAACAGCCAAACGTACAGCTAACCATGCAAATCGAGCGTACGTGATAAACAGAATGTCGATAAAGGCATTAAATAGTAAAGAGCAGTACTGGAAAAAAAAGGCTCAGAAGCTGAAGTAGAAGTAGCTTTAGTATTATTTCCTCACTCAAGGTCTTCGTCATAACCAAAGTTGTACGTGATGTCCTCCCTTAGGGTATTATTCTCCTCGGGCTATTTGTGATGGAATGTCTTATCAAGGCACACAACATTAACAAATACTGTAAGGAATCAAGTACCACTATTTTTACGAAGTCTGTTCATAGAATCTTTTTGGGTTCATCATCTGCTTGTCTTTTAATCTTACATTTCTTTATTTCTCCGACGAGAACTAAATTTTTCACCAACACCTATAACGTATCATCCGTATTACGTTGCTCCATAAAAACGCCCTGATTGGCTGCAAATTTAGTTAAAAGTTTCGAGTAGTTAACTCTCAAGTAGATAATTACTATAAGTTGGAACTGAAACTCAATTTCTGAGTGTCAACTTGTTCATGTGACGCTTCACGTTCACAAAGTGATACTGCCATGATGACTTTTCTGTGTGTTCTATGGTTCGCAATCTTCACCCTTATAGATGCAGGTGGGTAAATCGTCATAAGGTTGTAGTCGGATTTTAGTGGAATCTCTTTTGCGGCAACTTCTTTGGTGTAGTTTTACGTGTACTCCTAATACCCCAAAACTATGGTGGCAACCGGAAAAAAAGTTCTAGTTATTTGTCGTAATTCTAGTTATTCGCTAAGGATGTAGTCTGAACCTAAAAACGGCGCTTGGCTGAGACACTCCGTTGAGTAAATGTGTTTGTCAATGAATTAACAACGGTAATCTCAGTATCTGTGTATAATTTATTGTATCTGTGTATAATCCATCTGCTGATTAATTCAGTTGTTATTACCGGCCAGCCGCATTCCCTAGCTTAATTCTTCTCATTTTTCGCAGGTTCAAGTCATCAGTGTTACAGCTGCGAAGGCACCGAAAGCCAGCTCTACACACCCGCCTAGTGCAGTCAGAATCAAGTCAATACCACTTGCCTTGGTCAAGACGATATTTGTATGCATGTTAGGGCCACTTATCGAAAGTACAACGAAACCACGGAGGTGGAATTTAAAGGTTGTGTACCCGTAGACAGCCTTACATCGAAATACAACGAGATCTGTAACCAATCTAAAGGGGTCATAGAGTGCAGCCACGTTTGCTGCCGAGAGAACTTATGTAATGAGAATATCAATCAAGGTGAAGGCTGTCTTAAATGTGACTACTGCCCTGGGCCCGAGGAAAGTCCCGTTTTTAACCATTCTACTCCTTTAAATACGTCTTACACGAGTCATCAGTGTAACAATGAGCCAGAAACAACGATTTGCCCACCTTGGAATTTCTGCGCCAGATTGTACAGAAAATTCCAAAACTTTGAAGTGGAGAGGCGTTTTTGCACCTCTGAGGAGCACTGCGACGATCTCAATGAACTTTGTCGGGGACCCAATACCAGGAATGATACATATTGCCATGTTCAATGTTGTCAGCGCGACATGTGCAGTTCGACTTCGTGTGTTCACCTAGCACTACTTTCCATTTTTGCTGCAGTATTATTTGGTATGCTCAGCGGGTAGGAAAATATAATTTGGTATGAAACAAGCTTTTTTGAACATTTATTTACTTCACTGCATATCTACTCTAACCCAGAATAACAAAATATACATCTTATCAATGGTGGGAGTTTTCCCTTTGTCCTCGCTTTGCTTTCTTTCCGAATTTTTTCCTTCATTATCAAAAAATGGAATTGATTAATTGTTAAAAAGTAATTTTCAACAGCCCAGCGAAAACGCTCGATCATGTTCTAGACTCGCTTCGCAAGAACTCCTCAGGCTACCTGAACCACAGACAAAAGTCGATTTTCTCTCTCTACCGAGGGTGGAACGGTCAATTTTGCTTGAGTGTATCACTATGGAGTAAGAGGTTTTTCAATTGACTATACCACTCAAAGTGCAGAGAAAATTGACCTTGGACCCAAGCCTCTTCCGTGACCGTGAACAGTCTTTGCATCCAAACATAGGCAGAAAAAAACGAAATTGGAAAGGCAGGTGGAAAACGCTCGTTTTGCCCTGACCCTATTCCTAGCGTAATGCGCGGGGACTTTGGAATTGAGACATTCCTAACGAGCAATAATCTTAGATTGTAAACTGTGGGTTAAAAAAATAGCCAATCAGATGGATTTTCTGGGCGCAAACCGCCTCCGCGTGGACAACAGTTGAAATTCTTGAGTCTAGCATGACAGTACAGGGGGCTCAAACTCTTTGTGAGAGGATAATATTGTAAAGCTCCGCTCTGTAACCCCGTAAGTAATACAGCAAATAAATTCTAACCTTCAGATAGCGTTGCTTGTGTTATTTTTGTTCTCTAGTGGCAGTTCCAGGTTATTTCCTCGAGATTCATCCCACTACTGCCAGAAGAAGTAAAGGGAGGAAGGCTTGTAAAAGCAACGGACTGATCCACTCTCCGCAAAAATCGCTCGATTATCCGACTAAACCACGTCTCCTTGCTTCGAGACTTTGCCTCATGAAAGCCAGATAGTTGTACTATACGTTTGTCGAAAAAAAATTCCATAAAATTTCTGACGTGGGGTAATCAATCCAGCGAGAATTCCACCTGACCGGCCATTCAAATCCGTGGTAAAAATTACTTGTGTAGTTCTAAGACCGTTATCACACAGTCAGCCTGGGTACAATCGACGTTTGAAACGTTTCACTCGAAGAACTTGATTCTGCACACTGAAAGAGAGAGAGCAAAAGATTCAGCTTCCTTAGATACAAACCAAGACATAGATAGAAAATTCTGGAATTCAGAATGAGAGATCCTAAAATCAGAGAATCTTGAAATAAGTTAAGTCCACCTTGTGCAAATGTAGTATCCTAGCTTTTCGAACTGCAATCGTCTCTATCTCTTTGCGCCAAAATGAAAACACACGACCTTAGTTGTGAAACTACTGAGACTCAACAAGGCTCAAAAGAAAAGGCGAACCACGCATGCATCAAATTCCATCAAATTCTCTGGCGGGAAAATTAATTATCGTACCGTAGAAGAACTCTAGGTTCGACTAATGTGATACGCAGAAGGAGCTGCTAAGACGCACTAGCAAACGAAGGACGAATTTTGGAGAGAAATTGCTTTTAAAACAAAATTGAATCATTAAAAAATTCACCACATAAAGTTGAGAAAGCCAATCAATAGTTTACTATGGTTTCGTCCGAGTTAAAGATCTACTTTTACCAGTATACACCTTAACATTCGCGAATCCTTACGTCCGTGTGTCGTTCAATTCGTGGTGGGACTTCCACGTAACATGTCTAATGCTGTCCTTGACAATTTTGGGTTAATTAGCAGTCATTTCAAGCATTGTGTTGGGGTCAAATTGGTAAATTCTACTTGGCTCTTGGAAGGGCCAAATCGAGAAAAAGTTCCAAAGTGGAATTCATTTGGGTCAATTCAGAGTTTGGAGGGGTCTAAATGGTACCTGTCTGACCCGTTTTGGCTTAAATAGTTTAAAACGACCCTCGACGGGCCAAATTGGCCCTCAAAACATTAGCGCCAATTTGGCTTATGGGGTCAATTTGGCTCTCTTCATTTTACAGTACAGTTACAACTGCATGGGGAGTCGAAGGACCATTTGAAAGAAAGACACATGTACTTATACATAACAATTTTATTAAACCTGAATTTTAATTCTTACCAAAACAAACAAGGAATGCGACGACTTCAATTCAGGAACATTACCAAACAGGACATTGAAAATATACACTATGTTAAATTCGCTCCTTCTGTCATGATGGGATGGGATGGGATGGAAAAAACGGATTGCACGGAGAACACACGAGTCAGTTAGGTTAATCCCGAAAGAAGAAGATGATCCGGGAACGTTTATCACAACTTAATTAATTCAACAGTCCACTGTTGAATACATGTATGAGGTCACATTCTGTAACACAACAAACAACTCTTAGTGCGACTATGGAATAAGTTAAAGCATTTTATGTAATCTTTACTGCTTTATGTATGCTACGAAGAGGTAAATAGACTAAACTTCTTTGCGTTACATATTTCTAAATAAGGTAAAGAGGAAAACTTCCTCTCCCTTTATGATTTTCATAGTTTCGGAGAGCAGTCAACTGAGCATCAACCACAATAAGTAATGCTCCTCTGAGGCTACGAAGATGTCTCAAAACCTGGAACAATACAAATGAAATGAAATAAAATTTAAGGGAATTTTAAAGGACCTCATATACAAGAGAGCAGTAAACAAATCACTAAGGTTTATTTTCACTGATCTTTCAACACAAATCATAGCTTCAATGATAGAGAAAATCGGAAAACCAATGCACTCCTAATGATAAATCATTAGTGTGTAACGTAGTGAACTGTCTTTGAACTACATCAGAAACGGTTTCTAAAGGATTGAACTTTGATTGTGAGCTTTGAGGAACAGATAATTTCAAGTTTCCTGAATGAAAAGAACTTACATGTACGGGCTCAGTGTTGCATGTTTTCTTTGTCGTACTGTACATAAGGATTTTTTTACCGCGGTAGGTCCTTGGGAAATAGGTAGACCTTGCGTGCACGCTATTATGTAATTTAAATCGTCGAGGGAGTTTAGAGTCTTTGTTCAATCGCTTGGATCTAATGTGTCCAAGGGTACGTGATTAGATGCTCGATTGTTCTAGATACTCTTCGCAAGCATTCCCAAGAATATCTGAAACATGAATGTACAACAATAGCTTCCATTTTTTGCAAAATATGCTCAGAGGTTGTCTAAGTAGTTCGAGTGAAGCTTGAGAAAAATTGTGAGCTTTGAGGTACAGATAATTTCAAGTTTCCTGAATGAAAATAACTTACATGTACGGGCTCAGTGTTGCATGTTTTCTTTGTTGACAAGCAAACTGGAGTTGTCTTGACACTTGTTACGCTCTAGCCGGCCTGTCTCCGTTTTCACGGTTAGTCAGTTTCAAATAACGAGGTTTTCTGCCTCCAAAACAATGTTTGACGTCATGTCACGAAATAAACCTCTCTTACATCCTGATTTGCATAAAACGGTTACAACTTCATGGATTGTCATAACAACTCGAGCATACTTGAACAAGAGACACAGGTTCTGGAACGTGGACTTTGATTCTGAACGCTGAAGACCGAAACTAATTAACTCGGAAGGTGCGATGACATGGAACATTGCCACACAGAACATCGGAAATATACCCTAAACAACCCATGAATCCGACGGTGGCATTGATGAATGTATTTCTTATCATCTTCATTGTTTCATGTATGTTACGAAGGGGTAAGTAGAGGGATCAAACTCCGTTGTGTTACGTAGTTCTAAATATTTGTAAGCAGGAAAAATTTGTCTGTATTTATGTTTTGCATATATTCTGTTGTAGTCAACTTGCATTAACTCCAATGAAAATGCGCCTCTTGGGCTGCGTGATAGATGTCGTTCAAACCTTTAAATAAATAACATAAGATGACATTTACGGGAATTGAGGTATGACCTCAAGTACAAGAGAGCTGTAAACAACAATCTATCGTTATTATAACTCATTTCTTAGCGTTTTCATTACGAGAAATCAGTAATATGAAACGAACACGACGCCGGTTGTTAGATCTACATGTAAACAGTTTCTAATATGATGGAATTTTCTAGTAAGAACTGCATAAAATTATGACATGGTTGCCATGTGAACTTTAATATATTGCATAAAAATATGTTATTGTCATACAATTTTTCATACTTCTTGATAAATTTTAGTGCAACATCATTGATATGAGATCGTTTAGTTTAAAGGGCTACTTCGCAATTGCAACGGAATGAATTTTAATATTTTGTCACGTTCGCTCTCCGTGGATATACAACATCAACCATTTTTCCTTACATGAAATTCACACTAGTTCATTCTCACTGCGGCTCGTTCTGCGTTACCTCGACAGCAGGAAAAAAAGAGGCTAACGTTTCTAAACTTTCTCTTCATCTCTCTTTACAGTAAATTGCCTCAAATGCTATGAATGCAAAGGTCCAGATGATGGTCGACCGTACCCACAAGAAATGTGCGAAAGAGAGTCAACCATTATCACTTGCTTAAATCATTCACTTTGCGGCAGATACCTCCACAGGATTAAATCTGGGGTTTTGGTGAACGAAGTCGAGGCAAGATCATGTGTAGTAGATTGTAAAAGTATCGAGAATTCATGCCGGGCCATAATCCTTGCGGGTGGCAACTGCACTCATTCATGCTGTGATAAAGACTTGTGTAACGGTGGAAAAAGTGCAGCTGTGAAAGGATCGCAAGGGTCTTTACTCGTGACAGCAATGGCTCCTGCCATAGTATACTTATCTACGTTGAAAGAAGAGGACTAACATTTTTCGAGTATTTCTTTTTCAACATAGCTCTATAATGTCTAATTTTAAGCTACACGTTGTACTTTCCTCTCAGCGATAATTTTTTTCAAGGATACACAAGGACAATAATCTCAAAGGCAAAGAGAATTAACAGCATTTTACTCGATTGACATTCGCAGTGTCGATAAACGACAAAACTAACTAAACGCGTTAATTAAAATGCGCATAATTCCAGAGACGCTTGATCAACCGTGTACATCATAGTTCTGAAATGTTTCATATGTATAAATAGGAAACGTTGTGCAACAAAATCTGCAGATCAGCTTGTGAGTTGAGTCTATATGTATTTAAAACAACTTTCATGATTATCTGGCTTTGGAGTTTAGGGAGTAGTATTAATGCACTCACTATATGTCAATTTTCGACGAATCACGGATAACTAGTATTTTTTCCTTTCCAAGGCGTCACGCGAAAAGAACAAGGCCTTTATGACAAAATAGAAGACAAGAGTATTGCAACTGCGACTTAAAACTACTACAAAAAACTAGCTTTTAAACTACAAACGTTCTTAAAAACTCACAACCAAGCCTCAACATCACAGTCACAGATCAGCACTCATATCAAGCGTTAAGGTTATATATCTAATATTTATTTTTCTCCAGTCGTCGATAACCAGTAGCAAGAGAAAATAATGGGACCACAGTATCTTCTCTTTGTAGTAAGCATCTTGAGAATCAAGCAACAATCTCAATATGAAAGGGGCATATATAAAAGTTATGAAGGATTTTTATTTTTCATCTTTTGCTACCCTTTATGTACGGGAAGTAAAGACGCTTAGGAAACTTTCCCAACTATAAGTAAACCTGTCATTTATTGAATGTTTGATTAAGTTGATGCAACCTGACAGGACATCAGTGTGAATAACAGCATATTCACTGTTGAAGTGAGTCTCAGTGAGTTCTTTGTGCACAAATATGGAGCCGGGATAATGAGATCAAATTCAACTCAAAGATTGAGATTTTTTTACTAGTAACTCTATTCTTGTCTGTTTCAAGTCAAAGTGTTCTCAATAATACATTTAGGGTGTGTACACTTCCTCTTATCACTGTCACCACATTCATCAACACAAATGTTTCATAATTCTTACCTTTGACACCCATAAAATAGAGTTTCAGTGTTATAACCATTGAAAATAGTCCCTTGGTTTTGTCCAAAATGCAACAAAATGTTTTTTCTTACTTATAAACCGTTCTCTTGGAAATCTTTTCACGACTGATACATCATACACACAAATAATTCCAATGATGTAGTTACTTTCTTTAAGTGGCTGTAAAAATTTAACTAATTATAACCATTACAATCTCCCCAGATGAGATTGGTGCATTTTGCTGCTTTATTTTTCACTAAACCGTTTAGCACAGTTGTAATTGGACAGTGTACGAAGCAGACATTTGGCCATAATCAGACAGTTGGCTGTAATCGGACACCTGTAATCGGACAGTTGATGAAGCCAATCATACCAAGTCCACTAAGCTAAATTTACCAATCACAGAATTGATTACAATAACCATAGCAGCAATCACTTATCCTGAAACAAAAATGGGGAATTTCCAAAATGGAGGAATTTTTTACTTTAGACATTGTCTCTACCGGCGATGTTTGTCCTAAATTTTTCTTTTTTGGGGGAGGAGGGGGAAGGAAATTGTAACGGCTATGATTTCTTGGTAACAGGGCTTTGTGTTCTCCAATTCTGTCTGTAATCATATTCGTGATTGACAAACGGATCTTCCGCCTCGGGTCGTCTGATTTTTTTTTATCACTCGTATGATTACAAACCGAGTTGGACTCCACTCAGTCCTTTTGCCGTTATAAATATCTAAAGTCAAACACAAGCGATAGTAATGTTTTTTGGGTTTTTGAGAATCCACAAAAGTATTGTTAGAATCCAGTATGGTAAGACTGCAGGTCTGACATTACTTCCAACAGTGTATCACGCAACTTGATAGGAAACAAAAAGAAGAAAATAGATTGAGAAAGTAAATTTTTCTGTGTAGGTTTTTATCTGTTTATGTCATGAACCCCATGAGGAATGGAACTCCAGACTTGCATTTCCACGCTCTAGGCGCTGACCTACAGAGATCTCAAGGGAGAGTTAGTTCACTACCACGATCTTCGTAACAGCTGTTAAAAAATTGCCCACACCTCCTTTCCCGTCTCCCCCACCCCCCCCTTTTTTTTCCAATTTTGGTAAGGAGAAAATCGGATGCCACAGCTGCCAAACATCTGCCCATGTGCGAACGTCATGCTAACTAGGTGGCGAGTTTTCAGGCGGTCAGAACCAACTTGTTATAACAAACCGCACAAACCGGTAAGACAAGGTCTTTTTAGAGCGTATGATTTTTTCGGTAAAACTCAAAACTAAATGATAAATTGACAGAATGCCCGCACTTGAACAAGCTTTGTGTTAATAAAGTTTCGAGTTTTCCTTTTCCCTCCTTTTGTTTCTTTTCACAGATTTCTAAGAGTGTTTCAATTTCCTTTCTCCCATTTTGCAGAGCGTTTGTTTCTCGTGATAAAATGTATGCAAAAATTTCAGCACGCTCATTGGCTGAGAAAACGTAAATAAATCCCGAAACAGCGCTGAAAGTTGAAACTGAGTGCAAAAAGTTGAAATTGAGTGCAGTGAGTTAAAATTAATGGCAAAAAGTTGAAATTAAATCGATTGACAGGTAAATCTCGAAAGCACAACAAAACAAAATGGCGGAAAGATGAGGAGAAAGTGACAACGTTTAATTCATAGTTTGAGGGATAATGACAAAAACAAAAAGACCGAACAAAGTAAAAACAATTGGCTAAAAGTCTGGAATTCTTGGGGCTTCCAAAGACGTTTCTGAAAGTGTGAACCAGAGGCACTCGAAATCATCCGATTTCTGGTACAAATTTCGCGCGGGAAATTAGCGCGCGGCCTGCCGGAAATTGATTCCATCGCGCAAGCCTAACGTTTGACCGCTGGTTAATGTAAGTATGTAGATCAATATCGAAGTTGAATGTTGAGCTTGCATTGGTCGTGAAATAAAGAAGAGCGGAAAAGGCGCTGAACCTTTTTTCCCCTAAAAGCAAGAAGAGTTCAATGATCTAGTGGTAAAATCATGCACAGTGGGACTGAACATGTAGCCAACTGTGGATAATGCCATCAAACCAAAATTAAAGAATGCGTAAAAGCTAAAAGAACAGAGCAATATAGGCAGAAAGTGTAGAAAAAACAAAAACAAACAAACTAAGGCCGCAAAAACAAAAAACAAAACAAATAAAAATTATGCGATGAAAGATCATGATTTTTTTTTCACAAGCTGTGGCCCATGTATTCTCAATCATTGTTAACCCGTGATTAAAGTTTACATCACTAACCTCTCCCTTGGCTGTTCGTGCAAGGTTTTGAAGCACTGGCAAAGAAATCTGATAGGGTTACAGAGACGAACGTTCAGAAATGTTAAATAAATTACATCTTGATTACATTGAAGCAAACTGACTATCTAACCATGTTTTAAAGACATTTCACATGGAAAAAAACGCAATGATCATCGAGATGATGACCCATCAAAAAACAAGAAAAAAAAAACAAAAATTAAACAAGAGGTTTAGTAAGCTATGAAAGTTTACTGTTACTTACTGAGTCAAAGATTTCACTTGTTAAACTGTTCGGCTCCATGACGATGGACTGCAACAGTCTTGAGAGGAACAGTGACAAATCATATTTTATACATTCATGGAGACACTAAGAAATATTCTCACTTATTCAAAGGACTACGACGTTAAAAATGTAAGTGATACAATTAAGTGATCTGCTCTTTACAACGGAAAAAGTGATATGAAGGAAATAGAGAAGAACAATTCGTTTATTTACCTGGCAGCATTAAGGCTTAGCTCAGAATCACTTTCCCCTTTAAAATCAAAACAAAAACAAATCAAGCGACCTTGAGTGTTAAGTGTCATGAAAATAGATTATTCAAGCCAGAGACGTCATAACAATTCACGTCGTAACAATTCAGTCTACCAGCATCCAAATTGAAGTTCATAGAACGCATTCTCATCATTTAATGGAGCTAAGAGACCCCAGCTGTTATACATATGTAACTTGCAACATTTTCCATAAACCAAAAGTAAGTAGCTGTCGGTTTTGTGATGCATGAAAGCGTTGAGGTACGGACCCGAGAAAACGTGCGGGAGAGCCTTTAGACGAAAACGCATCGATTGAGAAACTATTTATTGTCTTTAACCACCTCCACAACTCCGCTTTGCCGTAAAGTTTTGTTCATCCACCGGCCCCTATGGACTTTAAGGTGCGTACGAAACAGCCATTTCCACTATACGCAAACTATCTTTTCACTGGTAGAAGCAATCAGTCACAGCTCTCACTTTCAAACCCGTAAGTAGTACAAATGTTTGGAGTGGTCTGTCATTTCTCTGCAGCTAACGACTCACACACACAAGTTATACAAACACTGTATATCATCAGTCTTCATCAGCTAGTGACACACACACACAAGTTATACAAACACTGTATATCATCAGTCTTCATCAGCTAGTGACTCACACACACAAGTTCTACAAACACTGTATGTCATCACTCGCCCTTTGAACAAATTTTGGGGAAAACGATAAGCGTTGTGAATGTTCCGATCGTGATTGTGTTGTGCTTACTATTTTGATTTCGATCTCCACCGAATCGTGACCATTATAACTCTGGTTCACATAACAATGCTAACAGAGCCAGCCATAAACAAAAGAACTGGAAATCATCTTACCCTGAATTGTCTGCATGAGGTTGCCAAGAATTCCTCGCTTTTTAGTGATGTACTGGAGCCCTGACATGTTGATACTAAGAATAACCATGAAAGTAAATTTTTAACTTCACAAAGACTTGTCTGGCCTACGTGATATGATATGATGATAAACTTATGACAAAATTAACTAGATGGATTTTTTCCAATTTGCTATGTTGGAATCTTACTTGTGATCAAAATGACATCTTTTTTTTAATCTATTTCTTATCTCATATTTATCTGTTCATATATTTTTGTAAAAGCTACAGCTTCAACTGGGAAGAACGGCTACTACGGGTAGTTCGGACTACTCACTGAACTCAGCTGATAAAGTCATAAAGATATATATCATCAGAACGAACGAGCTACGTCACACAGTGAGTTTATGAGCTTTATAAGTACGTTGATTCATGCATTTTACGATAGCTAAGCACATGTTCAATGAACCTTACCTAACATTATACAACGCCATCAGTATCAAATTTCTCATCTTAACATTTTTTCCTGCAGACGATCCACCCAGCACTTTCATAAACGTGTCAATCAATACACGTCCACTGTCTTTCGTTACCAGGAATTCTCGACCTTGCGCAGCAGCTGCCATGTTTGTAATGATTCCAACGAGAGCCAAAACAAACTGAAATTCTTCTGAGTTTTCTTTCGCTTCCTCTCCTCCAGCGCAAGAGTCAAAGTAACTCTCAACAGTTCGTGATGTGATTTGAAGAAACTCTTCCGCTTTGTTCTGGATTTGAGAAAGTAGTAGCAACAAGCTGTCATTCCCACCAGAAGGAATGGGATAAAGGTTTTCAATTTCCTTCTCTTTTTTAACGTTTAATCCATTTAAATTTAATGCCATCCAATTCTAATATCTAAGGCGCAAGTCTCAAGGCAAGGATTGCAATCAGGCCAAGGCCTTGTGCTCACGTTTACAGGCCAATTTCTTAAGCCGGCGGAAAAATCTAAGTGACAGTATGGCCTTAATCGTTGTTGGAAAAAGTAAAATTAAAATAATTTAAAAATCCATTGGGGCAAGAAAAATTTGAAATCCTAAATAAGTGACTGCACTTTCCGAGGCATTTGCGACTCTAAAGGGCTGAGCACTGGAGACGAGATTCAAAAATTCTCAAGGACCTGACCCTTGGAAAGCTCCGGGTCTATTGTCGGTTCAGGCAAGATCGGGTCCGCTACGGAATACTGTAAAGTAAAAATCTAACAAGATTAAAGCTGGTAAGCATACGGTTGTTCAATATAAAAACAACAGAAGTGAAGAGTGAACGAGAGAAGCCACAGCCACATCAATGAGAGCTGAAAATATGAAAAACTTGCTCATAAAAAGCTCCAAATCTAACAGTTTCTGTATGCCTCTTAAGAGAAATACAAGGTACAATGTTAGTGCAAAATTTAGCTTTTTGCCACACAGAATGAACCAAGATTTACCAGAGACCTTGCATCATATTTTACAAATATTATCAACTTACCCCTCCGAGCAGGGAAGTAACAGACTCCTGCTGACGAGATACTCTCCATAGCAGAGTACAAACGGCTGCACCCATACAAGAACAATAATCTGATTGATCATTCATTTGTTGGCTTGCTTCTGACAGCTGACACTGAAAGAAAGATTTTCTTATTGAAATGTTCACTTACAAATATTTTAGAGAATCTTCACAAGTCAAACTGTGATGATTATATCTATCTGCATATTTACAATTTACAAACTTCTCTTGGCAAAGACAATTTAAACATATCTTCATCCCTTTTTTTTTTCTCTACAAACTACTTGTTGGAGTCAGTTGACAAATTAGCCACTAAGCAGAAAGAGCTTTTGTTTAAGATTTTGAAATGGATTTAGGTTAAACCACAGATTCCATGGGATTTTGTACAATCCAAAGTGATTAAAAAAATTGAAAAAACAAGAAAAAAGAAAAGAGAGGTTTTAAGTTAACTAAATTACATACATTACCTTTAGCACATATTTTTCCTGGAAAGGAAAAAGAAAAAGCAAAAAATATTGGAAAAACTGATCACTAGCAATAAATACACTGTGTATGTTGATATTCAATTTTTATTGATCAAGTGTCTAACAAAAAGTTTAAATAAGCAATAATATTCAATAAAAATTACATAAAATTACATAAAAACTAAGTAAAATATTTCACAGCTAAACATTACTTGATGCAGCTTCACAGTTTCCATTCTCATGTTAACATGAGAATGGTGTAAGGTAGGAGGAAATATTTCTCTTGTCTGAATAAAATATAGCTCTGCATGGCCAACAAAATTTAGCTACAGAATTCTCGAAGTTGCCCAAAATCAGAGATCCTACCTCTTAGGTCAATGGATTGCTTTTGATCAGCATATTATTTGTATACAAAAACAGATCATGTTTATAATTCAGGAGACATACCTCCTTATATCTCTCACCATCCTCAAGAAGGCTGTTATTTTGTTTCTTCATTGCCTCAATCTCTGAATCATGGTGCATTTTCATCTGATCAAGCTCAACCCTTAGCTTTCTGTTCTCTGCCTCCAAGACCTCAAGTTCTGATTGTTACAAATTCAAAAAGATCAAAACAAACTGTTTATTTTATGCATATTGTTTATGTTGTGCATCATATCTTTTTGTTTGCCTTCACATTATTTGTTCCTGCAGTCAAGGACTGAGTCTGATTATGGAATATTTAGCAATTCCTATGATAAAACAACTAAATGATTTGACCACATGCTCTTAACTAGACGATAATATTATTAGCTTCTTGTGATTTAAAGCCCAGAGAAAATTCATACCTTGCTCACAATGATCCAGTTTCTTATATAACCCTACAAGATCAGAATTTAAAACCTAGAAAAAATTTGAGATAAATATAATCAACAACATTATATCCTGCAAGAAAAAAAAAGGCAAACAATGCACATACTTTGTTAAAGCAAGAGAAATTCAGAGATCTAAGAGTCTGGGGAAGCCAGTGATTAATTTAAAAGGAAATTTTACCCTTAAATCAACAGCTGCTAGTATTTATGTCAAGAGTATTATTATAATTTTCTAGCCTATGTATGATGCATGTTTCAAGTTGCTGGTTCTCCTAGGGTTGGTAGGAGCAATAATCCCTTAAGAGTAGATCAAACAAGCTACAATTCTTCATGCTTTTCTCTGCATTTGCTGACTGTTGGAAATGGTTCTTGCTTGACATTTTGATACATAAACTTCCATAATCTCAACTTTAAGTGAAAACACCAACAACATATATTAGAATAAATAACACTTCACACTTGAAGGAGGCAAATGGAGATTGAAAATCTATTTATCACTTCAACTGCAAATCCTTAAAGCATTCTTTCTCTTTAAAGTGCAAGTTGGCTGGATTTCACTTTCTAAAACAAAAATTACACCACATATTGAGAAAAAGTTTACCTTTGGCAAAAATTCCTTGAATTGCATAATCTCTGTTACAAGTTGATCTACATCTGCACGTGAAACCTTCAGAAAATGCTGGTTTCTGTCAGTCTAAAATTCAGAATAAAAAAAATTAAAATGCCAATATAGTTATTATGAGAATCATACAAACAAACCAAAAAATATATAGTTCCATGTACTTATTGGATGCCTAGTGCAAATATATTTAGCCAGCTGGCTAATGAAAAAAAAATTTTACATTTTGAAAAAAACTTTCGGTCGAACCGGTTGAGGTTAATTTAAATTGCTCAGGTCTGTTTTTTAGAATTAGTCAAAACTCACTCTCTAAGGCCCCTGCAAGTGTGTTTTGTATGAAAGCTTATTTTGCTTTCATCAATTGGTTGCATAATTAAAGGTAGATCAATCAGTGTCTCACTCCTACCAATTAAATATTGTTTCAGTTTTCTTTCATTCAGAAAAAATAGGGAAGGAAACTTAGCCGGCTCTCATCTAACTGTATACAACACTGAAATCGACTGAAAGCAAGAATACTCGTTAACTACGTAGTCAAACTAGCAGTTCTCCCGTCAACACAGAGAATATATCACTGATATATATACACAACTAAAATAACTAAGATTTCATTAATAAAGTTAATTTTCCGGAACAACTGCAGAATACCCTGTCACTTTGGTCCACCTCTTTTACATGCGTCGGGAGGCTCTGAAGATCGAGGCATGATACAATAAACGCTATTCTTATTCCATGACATGTAAATGATTGGCAAGGTATTCTGCAGTTTAGCCAATTTCCCAATGGGTAAGGAAAGCGAAATAAACTATCCGAGCAATTACATTATACCCACTTTCATTCCTTTGTCCGCCATTTTGAAACCCTTTCCACTGATGCTCAGTCCTCCTCAGCCAAAAAGGGTGTCTTTGCGTAACCTCGGCCCAGGGATTTCTTGGTGCCACCATCTACAACACTGACGCGGGAAGAAGTTGAGTAAAGGACTCACCCTCAGGCCAGAGCTGCAAACCTTTGGTTCAGCATCATCAGAGACCAGTTTTTCTGCTTGGCTGGTAAAACAAACTGGGAGTATCAACGACTTGGGTATCTTTTATCTTAGATTAAGATTATTTTCGTCTCAAAAGCTATTCTTTTTTACTTCGTTGCCAATACTAGTTCTTATCCTGTGTGACCAAAGAAAACGATGAAGGAGTGGGGAACGATTGGGTCTGTTGGGAAAAAGGCTTTCAATCAATCAAAGACTTTTTCAATTTCGAATTCGAAAAGTTCCTCGTAGACACGCCTGTCGAGATTCAATAAGATTTGGCATGTTTTGCCGCCCAGTCGTAGACTAACAGAAAAATAATAAGAAAACACGAAGCCAGGACAATGTTGAAAGATTGGGAATTTATCCGAATTTTTACGTTTGGGTTCCCTGTTGCAACGTGTACAGGACGCTATTGACATCACTTATCCTACAGTTGCAGCTTTATTGACGGACAATTGGGTTGTTTCTGTATCTGAGATTCTATCTAATGACACTTTTCTGATGCCCCAATAAGAGGCGAACGAGTCCGGGTTGTTCAACTGTTGAGATAAACACCTGAGCTAGATTACTTGAGCAACACGCTTATGAGGTGGAATTTCCGATATGAAAAAGGATTAAACTAGATCCTCACTTGAACAGTAGGAGACAATGAAAACCATCGTTGCCGGTCTACTGAGTTTACAAGAAGAAAACCTTAGTTCAGTGCTCATTTACTATCACTGAGTGTCAAAAGAATACGGAAAACTGAGTCAAGGGATTCCGTATTAACAAGGCAAACGATTGCAAAAAAATACCAAAGAGCATTCCCTAAAAGCGGAGAAAAACAGAAACTTTCTCGTTCTTGCCAGTCTACTGGTTTCACGAACTTTGTTCAAAGCTGGTTAAATATTACCACGTGCTGTTTGTCTTTCCAGTGATTTTTACCGTATAAATACAAATTTATGCTAGCATTGAACAAGAATTAAGAAAGTACGTTTACTATCAAAAGTGAGAAAACCTTCTAGATACCAGCGAAATGGCCACATGTTGTTTTTTTGTTCAGAAAGCATTTGACCCATTGTTCAAAGCTTCAATCTCAATTTCTAACTTCCATCTTCACAGTCATCGCCACATATTATTTCATGAATATGAAGCCACACATTCCATTGAACTTTTTATTCTTTCTCGAAAGATCCAAATAAATACATGGTGACCTTGAACTTAACAACAAGCCACCGAAGGTGCATGCGTATGTACGCGTTACAAGTATTTTACAAATCTACAACAATCTAATATTTCAGATGTCTAAATTACAATCTTTGAAAATGATCAACACCTTCACGTCACCGAACTACATTTTTTCTCAGTCCCACAAACGGGACAAGCTAAATTACACTCGACCACTCAGACTACTTTCAAGGTAAGACCTGAATGAAACCTTTAAAAACCATCTACAATCAACACTCGAATACGATAAAACACAAAATGATCACTTATAAGCGTGCGCTTCACTTCATTCCAAGTCGGTAAAAACAATAGCAAATCAACGACCATATGTATTTAAAATTAGAGTCAACTCTAATTTGCCAAATTCTAAATGCTAACCTTAATTTTTCAGTTAAATGCACTAATCCAGGTACATCTAGTTTTCAGTGAAAAAAAACAAGAAAATAAATTGAAAAAATTTAAGAAAGAGTCATATCCTGGCTTTACATAAATAATTCCTGTAGAAAAATATGAAAAACATCCTTTCCACATAATGCAAATATTTTCTCAATGATTGTTCACATTATTTTTCTTTCTCTCTTTCAGGCGATGTAAACTTCATAGAATGCATCTAGCCCTAGCTTTACTGGTAAAATGTGTACGTGTCGGAATGAAAGATCATTATCTCCTGAAACCTTCAACAAAAAAGAAGGTATATATTATTTATTCCTTGAATCGCTTCATAGTTGCAAAAATTAAGCAAATGCCCAGTTGCAATCGCTGTGAAGAAACTCTGTGTTTATGATATCCCACAACACAACAGAACACCATCAACAAATTCAATACCTCTTTAGGGTAGGCAGTGCGGCTCAAAAAATGCACTTGATACTTAACCCTGTGCAGGGAAAATTGCAGTTCAATCAACTAAGAGCAGGATGCGCTTACAATGTCTACGTGATTAAATTATGTACTACATGTGCAGACTGGGCAAGATCAAATAGATAATTTTGCGAGTTTTTACATTTCGAAAAATATGGATATACGTATGGACCTCAGCTCGCAAACACTCGACCACAAATCTGACCAAATTGAGACAACGTCCCGCCCTTTTCCATTAAAAAGAGGGAGTGATCTAAAAATGGGCAGAGTTGTTCTTAATAGTACTGCCACAAACCACTTCTGACGCTTACTCATTCCTTTCCATCAATATCAGCAAGAAACATCAGTGAATCACGCGGTTGTGAACTGAGGTTCATCTTCAGTCAGTGTTGCAAAGGAATCCAAATCTAAAAGCTAGACTACCGTAGGATCAATATGTCTTTCTACACGCAAAGTGTCAAGCAATAAACAACAGGCAAGAAAAGGTCTCATTTACTTAGAGTTAGAGTCCCATTTCTGAAGGTGGCGGAGGCTCACTGCTACCTTCCCCTCCAGAGAGTGCACTTGCTTCAGCCTCTTGAGCCTGCATCTTACGCCTCCTGCTTCGCCGCGCTCTCAGCTTCTCCTGCAAGCCTTGCTCTACACGAGTCTTGTTTAATTCTTGCTGCTTCTCGAACTCTGCCAGCTCCTCTTCGTGTTGTTTCTTTAGTTGATCAATGTTACCAAAGAGATCTTCTTGGTTTGGAGGAGGAGCAAGTTCAGACAAAGGCACAGGTTTGGGCGGGGCATCAGCACTGTCTCCCCCAGCTTCTGCCTCAGCTGGTGCCTCCCCATCTCCAGAGGGTGGAGCCTCTGCAGGTAACCCTTCTTTATCCTCTGGCTCAGGAGCCTGATCATCTCCCTCTTCTTTGGCAACTGCTCCTGGTTTGGCAATGTCAGCTTCTTCAGCAGAGGAGTCATCATCTACGAATTCATCTCTCTTTACTTCCATCTGATCAAAAAACAAAATTACAAGGTAACCATTGAATTTGAATGTTAAGAAATTATGAGGACATATCTTTTGACCCCAAAAATGATGAACATGCTGAAGATCTTTGCAACGAGATACTAAAATGTTACCACTGCATTCTGCCTTGATAAACAGTTACAGCTTTGAAGAGTGAAAAAGTGAATTTTTATGCTGCATTTTCTATCATTATATTTGCATCATCTAATCATTGCCATCATTTATGCAAACTAAACAAACCTTGCATAAAAGCCAATAAGAGACCATTACCACACAGAACATGCAGTTTTGCTGCCATAAACAAGTACATGTAAATATTGCTACTCTACTGGATGGGACGACAGTCCATTTCGAGTTATCCTAATATTTTGTCAGTTCTCCTTTGACAGTTGCAGCTACCTATTTATATTCCTCTCTGACAAGAATCATCACAAGAGAGAAGTGTCTTGCCAAAGAACACAATACAACATGAATTAACCCTGCATGATGAGAGCTCGAGCCTGGACCTTTGGATACAAAGTCCTGCCCACTGACAATTAGGCCAATGTATCTCTTACACTAAGGAGAATTTAGGCATAAACCACTGAACCTGCACATGCTGCATACCTCCAGTTCAACTCCAAGTTTTTCCTTCACTTTACTTTTAATCAGATTCATTCTTTCCTCTTTCAGTTCATAGTACTTTTCATGGAATTCCTTCTTCACTTCAGCTAAGTCTTTAGAGATGGTTTCCTCAACAACACGATTAACCCATTGAAGAAGGCTTGAACATTTGGAGAAGATTACACAAAGCACATTATATGTCTTCTGATAACTTGCTGGCACATTGACATCATTGAAAATTGAGTTTGTAATCGCCTTCAAAACCTATAACCAATGAAACAATAATTGATGATCTTAGTAAACAGAATGGGAAATTGCCTGTTATAATGTAAAAATATATATACTCCAATCAATTTACTTTAAAGAATAACACTGTTCAGGTCATGTTTTATTCATCTCTTGAAAAACCCTAATATTTCACTCATGAACAACAAATGAGTGGCTGGGCTACATTTTTCCAAAATGAACAATGGAAAAATGTCTAATGTAGTCATGGCCTTGAGTTCCAAGTTGACACATTTTTGTCTCAATTGCCAACCTAGCACTTAACTGTGTCCCACAGCATGTACATGTACATGGGAAGTGCATATATTATGGAGTGCAATCTTTCTAGCTGACTACTCACAATAAGACAAAATTAAACCCCTAAATTGATGTATCTTCCCAAAGGGTGCATACATTAGTTAATGCAAGTGGGTGGTGTAATCATCAGAAATCGATGACAAACTAGGGGTTTATATATCTGTTATTCACATTGATATCAAGAGCAATTATTTCTAACCTCCAGGTCTTCTGGAGTGCAGTAAGGAGCAGTCACTGGTTTGAGGCTCCCATAAGCACTAGAGATGTTTTGAATTGCTGCAATAATGTGATTTCTTGTTTCTGCAACCATTGTATATTTGACCTGAGGGTAAAGAAATAAAAACATTAGTGATTATCAAATTAGCCCATGAGGAACATGTCAAGAAATTTGAACATCTATTGGAATTGCCTCCATTTTTAGTATATCAAAATTCCAGAAGCATAATTTTATACATGAATGATGATATACAATGAATGAAATATGATATACAGACTAAAAGTAACATTCTCACTGGCCATTTGTTTGTAGCCAGTCTACAAGCTTGAAAGGGCTTTTACAATTATTTATGGCTAAATCTTGTTTTTAAGTCAAATGAGCTCATCTGATAGAATAATACTAACCACTGGAAGTGTAACATTATGCGATGAAATCTGTGCCCAGCGCCGGGCACTCCAACTGAGTTGCTTTGTAGCATGAGTAAGACATACACTGGCACCATGCCAGCGAGTATTTGCAGCACTGATTCTTGTTTTTCTTTCTGCCAGTAATTCAAGCTCCATTTCTAACTTCCATTCCTTGTCGCTACCATAAGAATCATTGAAAATGCGGCCCAACAACTCTTCTTCTTTATTTCTCAAGCTCTGTAGCTCATCTTGATCCTTCTTAGCAGATACTACTTCATTATACAGTTTCTGATATTGTTGTTTCAGGCTTTCAAGTTCTTGCTCAGCAATTTCTTGCTTATTTAAAGCTTCCACATACTCGCTCCGTTCTTTAGCTACCTCTGCATTTAGTTGATCAGCACTGACAAAGAAAGACCGCACATTGTATGCTGCACTCACATCTACCACATCCTGGTACTCTTTGGCACTAGTAGGTATAAAAAGAAGGAAAAAGTTCAATTGACTTATAATATGTATGGAACAACAACAACCTGGCAATGCTTATTTACTCCGTCAAATTAATACTTTCATTAATAAATCAAATATGTTCAAGCAATGACATTGACCCCAGCTATGGACATTCATATTGAACTTAAAATGTCTCTCTTGCTAATATTCTTAATAAAACAACATTCCATCGAAAATTTTCAACTCCACATTCAAATCAGTCATTGTCAAGTCCCCTGCATGGCATCTTACAGCACTATGGGATACTGAACATGGTCTTGTAGAAATCCTTCAATATCATCATCATCATCATTATTATTACTATTATTATAATGATTATCATTTTTTAATTAAGTGCTCGTGAAGTATTCATAAAGAAAAATAAGTGGACAAAAATTTCATAAAATTCAACATGACACAGAGCATAATCAGAGAAACATAACCTGATCAAATTCAGACATTTCTATATCATGTCTTGCAACTGCAAATGCTACGTGGAAATTCCCAATTCCCCAATTCCCACCCCTCCCATCCTAAAATTTTGAAAAAAAGTGGGGGGGGGGGCAGGCAGGCAAAGCTAGTCTACTTACTGGTGATGTGATTTTAAGTACTAAGTTGTGTCACACTATATACAGAGTAGAACCCGATAATATTATAAAGATCGAATGTTTACAGCTGAAAGGTGCTCATGGCATCAACGAATTCGACTACAGTATTTGTGTGTGTTTACGGTTGAGACCGTAATTATTTAAATGAAAACAAAAAAAATGGAAATATAAAATTCCTTTCCACTCACGTTTGAGCCTTGAGCTGTTGAACTTTCACAGTATTCTCGGAAAGTTTTTTGTACAATTCCACAAGCCGCGCATGTTTCATTGGATATTCATTCTCAGCGCCCTTTCCTTCCAAGGTCTGTATTTGATTTTCTACCTCCACAAACTCTCTCAACACGTCCTCGCTAAAATTCGGCTTCTCGCGTTCTTGCTCCTCTGCTGGTTTTTCGTTTCCTTCAATGTTGCCTTCACCTTGAGTCGTCGTTTCATCTGGAGCCTCTTCGACCTTCTCAACTTCATCAGCTACTACTGTTGTTACTACCACTGGCCCTTCACTGTCTTTGTTGTTATTTGATTGAGGAGCTTCTGTTTCTTTCGCAGGTTGCTGGTTTTCTATTTGAGCCGGCGCATCTCCACCCGGTGCAGTTTCAGGACGACTTCTCTTGGATTTTGCACTACTTGACCTGCTACTACTTGAGCTGCTACTACTTGATTTCGCTGAATCTTTCCTCTTTTCTTTAGGAGTTTCTTGTCGTATCACCTCAGGTTGTGGTTGATGCTCTTGTTCATTTGGTCGGGGTGATTCTCTCTTCACGTCACCATTACGAATGGCGTTCTGTTCAGGCGCGACAGCTTGCGATGATCCACAGCCCATGTTTTTTACTGGTAGAGACAGTAAAAGTTCCGCGTTAAAGGATCATTTCATTCAATATATCGTTTACCCTACAGGCAACATTAAACTTATCAAAGGTCACGTACCTTGAAATGTCAGTTCGTTCAGGAGATTTGCAGTAAGACAACAAAATTAGTCAAATTTTAACTAAACCAAAAGTTTTAGACCCTCGCGCTATCTTTTTGTTTTTGATATTTTATAGATATATGTTTTTTTTTCAAACCAAAGTCATGTATGTACCTATGTAGATGCAACTGATTTTGATCGATTATTACGTCTGTTAAATTCAGTTAAACTGCACAAAAAAATCTTTCATCCGTTCGATCACGTACCAATCTATCCGGTGATGGTAGGGCTCAGACGCTCACAATGCCTTCATAGAGAGTGATTTTGCTATTTCTACGATCGCTGCTTTCAGTCTTGAAAGAAAATTGACGAAGATTTATGTAGAGAAAACTTCGCTGAGAGTGTCAAGACAACCATACAAGATGGCGATCATCTTATTTAGAAATCCGTTGCGATAGCAACAGATCAACAGTTTCCCGCCAGCCAGTAGTAGGTCTATTGGAACAATAAATCAATTTGCAGTCAAGCAAATGTTATGTTACACAATTTCACGGTTGTCAACACGATTAACACATAATTTTTTCGTCAAAAGTGTGACAAAAGTTTCCTCGATAACTCATACCTAAAATGCAAATGGTTTGGAGTTCCGCAGCCACGTTTTCCTTGGTCAATACAACGTTCTTTATTCCCCATGGCAACACCAAAACATTTTTGCTGGCCAATTGTGCTTCACCAAGACCTCGAGTCGTAAATGTTTTCTTCTTTATGTTCGAGATAAGCTTCTAACAAAAGATGAAATGTTCTCGATTGTTTTCCGGCTGTGACAGATCTTCGTCATTCTGTTTTTAAATCACTTTATTGGCGTAGACCTGTCAACTCTCGCAAATCTGTGCGCGAGTCTTACGGTTTTTTTTTTTTTTTTTTTTTTTTTTTTTTTTTGACTCGATCTTACGACAAGACTACTGATCTAAAGTTTTCCGGGGTCGGCAGGTCTAATCAGGGGTGAATATAGGAGGGGTAAATGATAACCAGTGAAGGAATGGAAATAATTCATCTGGTAGCGCGTTTTTGGTCCAGAAATAATTCATAACATGATATTGATATGATAACAGTTAATTCCCAGAACTAACCGACAAAGAAATATCAAGTCATCCTTTGGTTGAAGTGACTCTCCAGATCTCAGGAAACGGGAACTGGTTAAATGGCAAAAATTTATTTTGAAATGTGCGTAATGAAACAAGAATTAAGTTTGTACAGACTTCTTTTCGATCTGTCAATCAAGCTGAATACTTTACCCAAGCCAAAAAGCACATTGGAAATAAAAAAAAAAATTAAATAAAAAATTAGATTAAGTTTTCTTTTGGAGGCAAACTGTTTGTGCAATATCCAGCAAAGCTTTTAATTTCTTTCGTTCCACGTGAGGAGAAGGCGGCATAATTTACTAATTTTATTCGTTTGTCTTCTATTGAGATTTTTTTATTTCTCCCTTCTTTTCGCCTGTTAAGACTGTAGAAAAGAGATCATAAACCGGTCACACTAAGTCATCGCTCGTCCCTGATCACGACGAACTAACGACAGGACACCGCATCTCAGGCTGTTCATTCCTATGAAAAGGCCTTGGTTTGGTGCTGCGCTTCTGAAAGTACTTGTATCACCTGAAAACTCGCTGACTATAATCAGGCACACGCAGTGGTCAACTACAGCATCTGGTTTCTCGTTGTCCAAGAACTGGTCAAATGTTCAACCTAGACAACCCGAGACTGAAGATAGGGAAAACGAAAGTCTTTGAACTTTGCTCTTACTTTCTGCTCTTGTACGTTGTAGAAGGAATTTCCATGCATGGATCAATTGCCGGCGCGGAAGTCGGCGCGGAGCACTTCAGGCGTTTTTCGTGAGAGCGCTGATCCGAAACGCTAAGGATGTTGTAGTTTCCTAATGTCGTCACAAAATTACTACGCGCTTGTTACGTCAGTACAGCCAGTTCTGCTTAGTACCCAGGTTTCCCCTTCAGTATCGCAAAATTACAGTTAACATGGCGGAGACATGGTGAATCTAAAACTGTGCAATTTTTAAACGTTTACTTTTTAACAAAAACATATTAATGGATTTATTAGATATGTATTTCCAAATAACTCGTTTAACAAATGGTTAAAGCGCAAGATAAGGAACAGCTTCTTCACGGGGATGTCGAGCAGCATGGTCAGATAACGCATGGTGAATGGTATTTGAGGAGTCATAGGCGTAACGCTTATGACCGGTCAATTCAAGACACCAATATAGAGTTCAAAGAAGTAATCGGCTCCCTGTGCGCCGGAGCCGTCGCTGGAGCGATTGCGAAGACTACAATTGCACCATTAGATCGGACAAAAATCATCTTTCAAAGTAAGTGAATTAACGAACTTGCAATTAGTTTGTTTTGATGCTGATGTTAGATGACTGGGTCTCAAAGTTATTTGATTTTATTTGTTAACAGCTTTTATAATAAAATCTTGATAGTCGTGAGAAAGTCGAGTTTGCAATGGCTTTGAAACTTAGTAGTAAGATTTAAAGCAGAGGCCGCCTTCAAATTTTCTCTGGATCTTGCTCCCCAAGTCTCAAGGATTAACCTTATGCACCTGTGACTATATGTTAGTTCAAACAGAACAAGTTGAAGTTGTTTTATAGATTACCAAGCTCTCCTAGAAACATTTTGGTTATGTTTTATTTATGGCTGAGGCTTACTGCTGGTTTGATTGAGTTGCAAACAAAAAATTCCTGACTTGCCTTTTCCTTTCCTCTAGACCCTAAGCTTTATAATTGGCTTTTTAAATCCATTATGTAACACTATCATTACAAGATCGGTCAAGAATCAAAATTAAAATGATCTAAGTGACAAGAAGTAGAGTATTAGAAACATATCGAGGATTGATGATTTTGTGAGAGCATTATCTGAAAATGCAAACAGAGTGACAGCCTCTACATATTTACTTGTCCTGTGGATGACGTCAATTTTCTGCTGATCATTAAGGCCTAATGGATTGCTGATGGGGCGTCATAAGATTCTTGTCTATAATTGGTGTTTTCAAGTCCTATGCTTTTCGGGATATAGAATCTTTCCCATTGAGATAAGCTGATTAAGGCAAATATGTTTCTTTGCCCCTAATGCTTACAATGCACACCACAGAATTTGAGATCACAGCAACATAATAACACAGGATTTTTTTATAATAATAAGAAAATGGCAACAGTGCAACACAACTAAATCCAAATGTTCTCCTCTTTCATTACACCCATTCTGAAATCACCGGTGGTCCCTGTAATCTGATTGGCTCTAATTGGTGCGATTTATTCATGAATCACACCATTTTGCTATAAATTGCATCTTTTTCTCCCAGCCAATGAGCAGGCCACACTAAAAACAAAACAACCAATCAGATTTTAAGGCTTGTTTAAAGTAACCAATCAAATTGCAGGAAAATGAAAGACAAAGAGTATCGCATGGCAAATTTTGCTACTTTTGTTTCCAAAACTCTTACTTCCCCCCCCCTCCCCCCAAAAATGGATGAATTTTATTTCAAACCAGCTGAGTACTGCACAATAAAATATTTGAAGTGACCAAGTCCTGTATTTGGGCGATTTCAAAATGGATGTAATAAAGTGGTAATTGAACCTCATGTCATGCAATTTTGGTCTGAAATCATACTTGTGATTTCAAATTGAACTCGCGCTGCGCACTTGATCGATTTTGAAATCACTCATATGATTTCAGCCCAAAAGCACTCCACTCAGTTTAATTACCATTATTAATCACCATAAGACATGAATTTTTTATGAGTCACAAAGACCCAGATGTTGATCTTGCGTCTGTCTCTTCAAAAGAGTGATTTGCTCTTGAAAGAAAATGCCACTGTCTAAAACTATGAGTATCCAGCTGATAACCAAACATTGTAGACTGGCAGAAACTATTCATCACTTACTTATTTTAGCTCTTTTGCCTACAGTATCAAAATTTTGTTCTTGTTAACAAGAAAAGAACTGGTTTGTGTGTCTTTTTGTAACAGAGAAAAAGAGTTTTTAGTGCTTTAAATTTTAATTTTCAAGTGGTGATCATTTATCTTACTAATGAGGACACTGAGGCAATTTTTTTTTTTTTTTTATACCTAGCCTCCAAAAGACAATTCTCAGTAAAGGTAAGCCATTGTGATAGATTACAATATATGTATTTTGTTTTGATTATCATTATTATCATTATTATTATTATTATTATTGTTATCATGATTTTTTTACATTTTTTATATAGTACCTTAAACAACTTGTTTTTAATCACAAAATGTAAAACAAAGAAGAACAAGCTGAGAGAGCTAACAGGGAAAATCTTAAAATGTCATACAGACTTCTTCAAGATACTTTCCTTATTTGGATCAGACTTGATTAGGATGCACGCACTCTTTACACTTACTAAGTGAACCAAGATTATGACTAAAAGACACAATAACCATTTAGCCAATGTAAAGTGGAAAAAACAAGTTTCTTATATTTACTGTGTTGATACTTCTTCACTATACCAATAACAAGCCTCAAAATCAGGCCCAATTAACCCTCTACACTGTTATATCAGTGTGCATTTTCTCCATATTGTTCTCTATATATTTCCTAAGGCACTGATTAGGAGAATTCTTTCTAAAATCAAGAGCTTCTTTAGTTGGTGATCATGTCCTTCATTCTCATGACCTTAATATTTGATTCAGGTGCAATACTGTGGGTAAAATGAGATGCAAGTCACTTTAAATAGTCAAAGGATTTAAGAGATCGTTTTGACAGTGCATTACTCATATACCTGTTCTTACTTAGGAATATGAAATGACTCTGCCTAATATAAAGTTATTATTTATCTATTTTTCATTAATTTTCTCATGCCAGGGAGCTATAAGTGTTCTAAGACAGACATATGTGGAACATGGTCTGCATGGTCTTTTCCGGGGAAACAGTGCAACCATGGCAAGGATTATACCCTATGCTGCATTGCAGTTTACTGCGCATGAACAGTTTAAACGGCTACTGAGACAAGGAAAGAAAAAAGGGTAAGATTGATTCCATTCACAGATGGTAGAATTCTGACCATAGAACATGACTCTCAGAATAAGACACTCTTTGGCTTTTGTAGTTCCATCAGTGATGATCATAAAAATGAAATAGCACTTTGAATGGATTGTATAACCATGCTCAAATCAAAGATTTTGCCTTGCAGTGGATCAATGAAAGCTTTGATCTGTGACAGCAGTAGGCAGTCTCATTTGAACTTTCATTGTATCTTTTTTGATTGAATGACAATTCTGTCACAAGAAAATGTTATAATTGCTCATTTCAGTCATTTTTCCTTGAAAGTATGTCTGATCTTGTTTTATACTTAGCTATCTTGACTGTGGTATTCTTTATTAATTAGATCAGTGTAAGAATTTACCTGAAAAAATACCAAGGCACAAGTATCACATGGTTCTTGCATGAAGCAAAATGACAAATTTTCTCAAGTTCATATTGTTTTCACAATCCCTCCAACCTTAACAAGTAGGTTCTTTTTGACAAATTTTATGAAATGCCACAGATACACCTAAGCAGGTTGAATTTTTTTCTTGATTTTCAGACCTTTGCCTCCCATTCGTCGGTTTATAGCAGGGTCACTAGCTGGTATTACAGCAGCATTCTTCACTTATCCTTTGGATATGATTCGAGCCAGACTTGCCATCACCTCAAGAGACAGGTATATCACTTTAAGTTATGTATCTAATTAAATTTGTTAACACTATTAAGTCACATGAAGTACAATTCACATGCATATGATCGCATCTGTAATTATCTGACACTTTAACCTGTCATAAATTATACAATATGTTGATTTTTTGCCTTCATCTTTTGAGTAGGAGATCATTTATTAAAAAAATCCTACACTGCTAACCATTGGCAACATTTCCTTTAAAATGAAAAATCCCTTTTCATTATACAAACGCTTTTGACATAAATGGTACAACTAAATCATGTGCACACATGAACTGGGATAAATTGCAGTGGAAGCAGATCTAACCATAACCTGCTATGTCCGCAGTGCACACCCTCTCCCCTCCTGTTTGTGTTGAGTTTTTGTTGTGTGCTTGTTCAAAGTCGTCCATGTTATTACTTGATATGTCTGTGAGTGTGAGAATCCCAAGACCTTGAAAATGGCAGCTTTGTTCCATAGCATTTAACCTATTTTTTTTTGTTTGGTTATTTTGATCAGGTATGCTGGACTTATGAACACTATAACCAGCATCTACAGAGAAGAAGGTTTATATGTGTATTACAGAGGCCTTTTGCCCACAATAATGGGGATAATGCCCTATGCTGGGTTAAGTTTCTTCACTTATGAATCACTCAAAAAACTTTACTCTGATGTCTTCCATGAGAACAAACTTAATCCTTTACACAGACTTCTGTTTGGTGCATGTGCGGGACTCTTTGGCCAATCGGCCACTTATCCATTGGACATAATTCGCCGGCGAATGCAGACTGATGGAATAACTAGCCCTTCAAGGCCAGAGTATAAAAGAATGTGGACCACAGCCAAATATGTTTATGCCACAGAGGGACTGAGAAAAGGCTTATACAAAGGATTGAGTATGAATTGGGTCAAGGGACCTATTGCTGTTGGAATGAGTTTTACAACATTTGATATGTTATATGGTTACATACAGAGGCATTACATCCATACAAAGACTGGATGAGAGGAAACAAATCCTTCTATATATCTGTATGCACAATGGCTGTCTGAAAATGAGGAGCAATTGATTTGAGATGTACCAGTGGATGAGGATGTGTCAATGCTGTTAGTGTAACAAAAATTAATTACAGACAGAAAGTTGCTTTCCTGGTATACGAAGCACTCATGTAACTTCTTTTCCTCTTGATGACTTTTGCACATGACAGGGATCAAGGGAGATGTACATGTACATGTAGATTTCGTAATAGAAGCAATTTATTCACTGGAATTGTTATGTTACCTAAAGCCTTGGCTTCGGGTCGCGTATTATGATGGCATTTTGATTGCACACTGGAATACTTTTTTTTTTCAAACGATGGCAATGCATCCCAGAATAAAATAAAAGCAATGATAATGTCAGCTTCAAAATATTTATTATGCATTGCCAAAAAAATTGTGGATGATTTCACTGTGGCAGAATATCTACACATACACCATTTCGTAACATTCTTTAATTTGTATTTGAATATCATTAGGTTCGATTGCTATTGCCCTAACTTGCATTTTTCGTCAAATTTCCAAATTTGTGTCTATTTTGTAAATCGTGGAAGAGTTAGTTTCCAATTGGAAAGTTTCTGTGCAGCATTTAAAGAGGAACATAAAGATCCAGAAAAATACAAATTGTTTGGTTTGATTGCTGATCGATTGTACTGCTCAGTGCACCGTGTTTTCCTTAGAAGGACTGATTTCGATGAAAGGGTGTCAGGTTGTGTCGCCCCATTGCCTTGTCGCCCCAGGTTATGTCGCCCCAACCGAAGTTACGTCGCCCCAACATCGGAGTTGTGTCGCCCCAACATCGTGGTTGTGTCGCCCCAACATCAAAGTTACGTCGCCCCAACGCGTAACTTCGCTTATCAAGTAAAAGTTTGTATAAACATGACACTGCTGTAAGATTTATCGATCGATCGAAGGAAAAGTTTGTAAGATTATTACGATGTAACTCGAGCGAGCGGCTTGTAAAAAGCAACTTAACGCGAACGATCGACTTTATCTAACATAAACATAACACTGCTGTAGGCTTTATCGATCGAACGAAGGAAAAGTTTGTAAGGTTATTACGATATAACTCGATCGAGCGGCTTGTGAAAAGTAACTTCACGCGAACGATCGACTTAAACATAAACATAACACTGCTGTATTAACTTTAGCTGACTTAGCTTGCCGTTCTTTCAAAATGCAACTGTGTACTGCGAAGATGATAAATCTACTTCGAACATTTCGGCTCAATTCAGGATTTTATTTCAATAGTTTGATGTAAAGCATGCTTACAATGAAGTTGTGTAACATTAACTAACCTTTCATTCGTGTTTTTATATCAAAAGGTGCTTTAGTAGAGCTAAAGGAAAGGGCAATCAAAAACAAGCGTAAAGTTGGAGCCTCGACCGATAGCGATAGGATTATAGTACCCAGTTCCCCGCGGGCTGCTGATAACATTCTTTATTGATTATTATTCGATTGTCCTTCATGGCTAACCCGAGAAATTCAGACAGAAAAGAACACAATATTTATTTCCAACATCAAGTTTATTATTCACTAAGGACTATTTTTCAATAACAACAGGTATTTATACTTAATATATTTACTTTTGTTTAACACTTAACAATAAAATATCTTAGATCCTAATTTAATTTTCCCTCTTTACGCCTTACTCGCAACAAAAGTCAAATTTTTACAAATAGCTAGACATAAAATCGGTTCACTAGCGAATTGAAATCTCTACCATAACACTTAGAATCAAATATCTCAGATCCGAATGTATTGTTTTCTCACCTTGCTCTCTACAAAACTCAAATTCTTACAATTAGCTAAATCTTTGATCCTAATCTTAACGCCTTACTTACAAAGCAAAACTCGAACAATGACGAATTCTATCACTTTCTATAACTAACTTAACGAATTGTTTTAAGCGCCTCTCGGCCCAACAAGTAATGAACAAGCCTTGAGAAGTTGTCGCGGCGTCTTGTCGCCCTCTTCATATTGTCCCCACAGTGAAAATACCTTAGCCTGGATTTGACGATATCTGCGCCGCTGAACTCGTCGAAGTTTCTTTTCTGAGACCATACGCACGTTCAGGGAAGTTAGTTTGGCTTCTTTGTAGAGCAGGTCGATGAGTAAATACATGGGTAGCTGACTCTTGCCCTGGGCTCTGGTGTGCAGACCGTGATGCCAACCTTCCACGTCATTGTTGGTCCTGACCGACTGCATAAAGACTGACCAAGAGGATGGCGGCCAGGTGTTGCTTTCGATCCAGGTGCTCGATACATAGTCGGTGAACTGGCGAAGAGGTGCGCTGGAACTGCGGCCTGATGTCTTCTTCTTCGAGGAAGGGTAGAGCCATGACCTTTCGTATGAAAGCATGGGTGCCCCGATCCTCCCTGTACTTACCAGTATTACAGAGTCGATGGTTCCATCGTAAACAGCCGTCGCACTGAACCCCCTGCTGTCTTGGACGAACAGGTTCGTCACAAACAATACAGTTAATTAATTGAGCGGATGCCATAGTTGAAACTCGTAGAACGTAGTGAATAATTTTTGAACTCGAATGTCGCAGTGTAGTGATCGAATGAAAGAATGAGTCCATATTGAAGTTTTTTTTTTCCTTTTATACAGGGTAGTAGGATCCAAAAGTCATTTGTGTTAGTTTTAAGTGATTTGATTGGCTTGTTTATTTTACTTAAACAATACAGTTAAATAAACAATTCTTTTTACCAAACAATCAGATTTGGCACCTATTGATATGTTAATTTAACTAGCCCGCCCACCCACGCGCCAGAAAATGACTGTTTCCTCATAGGTCCGTTAAATTAAGAGACGCCATTAGTGATCCTTAATTGTTTCTTTTCCATGAATTTTTTTCATGCTTACTCAGTAAACGTAGACTCGTTTACGTGCTCTAACTGCCGAGGAGATTTGGGTACTATTTTATTGCAAAATTTTAACACGTTTGTGTTATCCGCGCGTTGTATTCCATAAGTCGTTTAAGTTAATCGATCGATGAATAGATTACAAACTTTTATTTCATAAGCGAAGTTACTTTTTACAAGCCGCTCGCTCAAGTTACATCGAGTTACATCGTAATAATCTTACAAACTTTTCCTTCGATCCATCGATATTAAAATCTTACAGCAGTGTTATGTTTATGTTATATAAAGTCGATCGTTCGCGTGAAGTTACTTTTTACAAGCCGCTCGCTCGAGTTACATCCTAATAATCTTACAAACTTTTCCTTCGATCGATCGATAAATCTTACAGCAGTGTCATGTTTATTAGTCGATCGTTCGCGTAAATCGATCGGAGAATCTT